CTACTCCTCCTTGCTCAAAGAGAAAAGAGAGACAGAAAAATCACAGAAAATCGTTTTACTGACCGATCACTCCAATGACTCATTCACTTTCTCACCCTCTCTGTTGAAAATAGAAGGATTTACAGTCCCGTGACAAAGTGTAGATTAATAATCACTGTTTTAAAAATCTCCGTCTAGATGTTAGAAGATTGATCATCGTCTTGATTAATGCCTAGATGCTTGAAATTAAGAAAGAGTGCCTAGACTTACCGAGGCGTCTGTTTAGACCCCTAGGCACCTGCCTAACCCGTCCATACTCACTTAGGCACCTGTCTAGATCGCGACTTATTTAGACAGAAAATAGATAACTTTTATTTTACATTTTATTTTTTTCAATAAATTGTAATAAATTTGTTGTATACTTAAATGAACACGCATTATGTGCTTCCTATGTTTTCATTATGTTCTAATCCTTCATAATATGTATATCATTTTATTTTGTAGTTTATAATGAAACTATATATATTTTAAATATAAACATACATTTTTTACACGAAATATAATAAATTTACTCAAATTCAGCTAGTCCGCCTAGACATCCTCCTAAGCCCTGCCTAGCTGCCTAAGCACTAGACTCCAACTCACCGCCTAATTAACGTCTAGCGTTTTTCAAAACCTTATTAATGATGCATTATTATGTAAATTTCATCGCACATGATTGGCAATGCATATTATTCAGGTAATTAGGCTTCTCGAGCTCAAATTCTTTGCATTTTCTTAATATAAACTAAAATATTTAAAGGAAAATATACATCATTAAATTTAAATACTCCGTAATAATCAACTCGTTTTATGTGGTATAGTAAACCGTAGACAGACTAGTGTTGGCGTTGGAGGTAGACAGCATGCGCCACTGCCTTACTGCCATCTGCTGCAGACTGCAATCTCTGCTGCCTTTTGCTTGTTCAACACTTCAAAAATCAAAGCGACATTTATATATTTGCATGGAGCTCTCTGTCCTTCGATTACACGTCACCACTTGAAACCAAACTAGCGTTTTGCGTTCTGGTTTCTGACCAGAAGAGAAAGAAATATTATGCGTACTGTCTGGGTAGTACTCATTTTACTCACCAAGCTATGTGGTCCAACAGGAATACAACACTGTCATTTGAAATTCTCTCCCACTCTTAGAGTAACTCTACCGTTTGCAAAGGCCTCCCCGAACTATTTACTATTTAATTCATACAGTGAATATTAATTGTCATTAATTAACAGTAATTATCTTTTGTATCTCCATCGTTATATTGATAGCCCTAACAATATGTAATAAAATATTATTATTATTTTTATTTATAATTAATATTATATTATTTACTTTGTATGAATTAATATTATATTATTAATGATCTTTTCTTTTTAGAAATCTCTTACTATCTCTCGAAACTTCTACTATTTTTTTCTGCTGCACTTCTAACACACAGTAGAGCAACACACCTGAATGCCCTTCTTAATTTTTGCTGCACTTCTATAGTCCATGGCTTCGCGAAACGGTGTGGTGCAGAGGGGTGCTGTGAAGCTGAATCGCCCGGTTAATTTCAGAACATGTACTTCTCCATCTCCTTCACAAACTTGGCCGACAGGTTGGCGATGTACTTCGCCAGATGCACCGCCACTTCCTCCTCCGTCTGAAACTTATCCACCTTCTCACACTGGCCCGCCATCCCTACTTATGCCGATGATGCGGAAATTGGGTTCTTGAAATCCGAGTGAATGAGTTTAATCGAAGGGATAGAAATCTTGGTGCCGATCGGATTGAGATTATTTCCAGCGCTCGAGATGTATGCGATGAGGACAAAGTTGTGCGGAATGAGAGTGAGAAGGAAAGCTAGGTCTGCGGGAATATATGGAGGCTGGGAATATATGGAGGCTAGGAATGTAGAGGAGATAAGGGCTGACGTCGCCCAGACTTCAGCCTTGCGTCACGTAGCATTTGAGCTCTCGGGCTGGCAACTCATGTCAAGCCTCTCCCTCGAGCCCACTCGGGCTCTATCACCAACACACGCTAGACCTCCCCACTTAGGCTCTCTGGCCCTGTTTGAGAGCCAGTCCATCGGGCAATAGCCCACGGTGGAACTGCTCTTAGTAACCAAACAAGAAATTTTTCAGTGTGACCGGTATACGGAATGGTACATCACGTGTCACTATACAAATGGTGTGATATGTGTTTTAAAAAGTTAATAACTTAAAAAATAAAATTTTCTACCACTTATATAAAAACACTTGGTGTACCTTTCGTGTTTCAGTCATAACGAAAAAAAATTTCCAACCAAACAGCCTCAAATAACCAAGCATTCATCTTTTCTTGTTCCTTTCTTACCATGGCCGATCTACCATGACAGACCACCTGAACCAGAATAATAATTTTCTTCCCATGGCAGATGTAAGCCAAAATGATAAAATTCAAGAAGTGGGAGTTCGAGACAGAAAAAAACACGAGTTTATTAGTTGCACTAAGCTTTCTCCGTCGATCCCACCGACAAACACTCCTCCAATCGTCGACTCCACCCAGCAGTGAATGCCACTGTCTTCTGCGGTGGTGAGGATGACGAGTTGGTGCTTCTCGCTTGGTGGTGAAAATGGACTGGACGCCGGCTTTGCGAGTGAAGTCGAGACCGTCGCAGGGGCGAGGTTGTTGAATCCTAGATTATGGAACTTGCAAAATAATGGCAGAGCCGACGAGGCTGCGGTGCCCGGTTATGAGTATCGTCATCAACTTGTTCGAGCGGAAGGAAGACGAAGTGGAGAAGAAGATTTATGTTTGGTAACAGTTTTAAGGGTGAGGTTGTGTTTGGTTGCAAAGATAGAAAAGAATAAGGAGATGACATATGTTATATTTTCATAGGGACATATAGATTGGTGTGTCAAAATGGGTACTGACTTGTCAGTACCCAAGTATTGTCCATGTAAACTAACAAACTAGATGGACCAAAACTCATGAGTTTTGTCGTATAAATTAAAAAGTCATGACCCGTTTCCCAAAAAAAAAAAAAAAAAAAAAAAGTCATGACCTTTGTCCTTTTGGGGTAATTAGGGTTTACAAATCCAACTGGTCCCTCCTCACTCCTCTCACCATCAAAACCATGGATTATAGGATCATTTGATCTCATTTTTATGCATCAAAATATCAAGTTGGTCCATGGTCCTAAAAACATCTTGAGAACAAGAACTTAACATAGAACATGTTTAGTTTATATAACTTTACGTAAGTGGACCAGGATGTTAATTGGCAATAAAAATGTACCATGGCTGGTCTCCTTGAGGACAAGTACTATTTCACGTTATCTATTTGCTCAAAATGCATATAAAAAACCTCGTACATATTTAGTTTTATCGTGATATTTTAGTTTAATAATATAATATTATATATAAATTTAACTTTGTATATAACTTTACGTAAGTGGACCAGGATGTTAATTGGCAATAAAAATGTACCATGGCTGGTCTCCTTGAGGACAAGCACTGTGTCACATTATCTGTTTACTCAAAATGCACATAAGAAACCTCGTTGTTTTTAAGTCCATGAAAATTCACATAAAATACACATAAGCGAACTCATTGCTTTTAAGTTTTAAGTCCATGAAAATGCAAGGGGGTCTACTCTTTGTGTGTGTTTTTTGGCATATAGGTGGTGTGGCTCTTCCACTTCTCACTTCAAAACACAATATTCTTAAACTTACGTATGGATAGGTGTTTAACATTTTCTTAAACGAAAACAATTGGTGATAGGAATGTTCTATTTTTTTTACAGTACTCTCGATAATAATATATCTAGTGAATACGAGGTGATGCATGTAACTTTGAGGATTACTACACATGGTTGCGAACCATAATGTCAAGGTTCGAATCCACCTCGTCGAGAACCAGCCCTTCCTCTTCATAACATTCTCACTCTCCTTGTCCCATTGAGATAGATAAAAACTTTAGCAAGACAATTTGTCTAGTCAATAAAATAATGTCACGTTGCCAGTTATTCTACCAAGCACGTATACCTAATTAAATTAGAATAAAAATTTTAAAATGTTAATAATTATTTACTTTCTAATATTTACACATGTCCCGATTCCCGAATCGTTACCCCTCATTCTCTTGTTACTATAACTAGGGGTGGTTCGGTATGGGATCCCATACCGAAATCCTTGTCTCGATTCTCAAACCAAAAATTTCGGGAATCCCAATTTCAATACCAATCCCAAACCAAATTTTCGGGAATCCCGAAATGATTTTGGGCTTTTGGGCATTTGGACTAAAATATTATGTTTTTGGGCTAAAATTGAACCTTTTAACACTTTTGGGCTGCAATCTGCTAAGAAACCCATTGCAATATGTGCCAATTGCAAGACTATGTTAATTTAAATGTAGATGCTACAATTGCAAGACTGCCAATCTGGATTCAAATGTAGATGCTACAATTGCAAGACTCTGTCGATTTAAATCATTCATATAGAAGTATGTGCAACTATTGAAGCCTTCATTTTCTATAGACTCTGTCGATCTAAATATATATTTAAAAATTAAATAATATATATATATATATTTTTCGGTTCGGTTTGGGAATACCGAAATCCCAAAAACTTGAGACCGATTTCCGTACCGAAATTTCGGGATCGGTTCGGTATTGGGTACCGAAATTTTCGGGAATTTCGGTTTAGGATTTTTTCAGTTTGGTTTCGGGAATTTTTCGATTTGGTTTGGGATTTTTGGGATTTTTGGGATTTTTTTCCAGCCCTAACTATAACTAGAACAAAAGTGCGTTTCCAAAGACGTGGGACCTCCCCGTGGTGGGCTCCATTTCCTCGAATCGAAATCGGATGGACAGGACACAGCCACGATATCGAAATTGATACTTCGTCGATCCGACCGTGCTGTTTTAACCCCAGTCCAGTTATCTTTCTACCACGGTTAAACTCATCCCACCAACTTTGTCTATAAAATTGCCCCCATTTCACCTTCTTCGTCTTCCGTGCTTGCTTCGTCTTCCACTTTCCCACTCTGAAAAAAAACCGCTCTCTCCCTTGACCCTAATCAAAATGTCTGTCGAAAATCACCTCATGTTCATACCTAGGTCGATTCTTCACTCCTCCGTTCTGGGTTTCGAGACATTTGCCTGTTTTGTGCTTCTCACGGGGGTCTGCGCCTTCTGCTTCGCTCCCGGAGGCCTCGCCTGGGCGCTGTGCAAGGATCGAGCTTCCCGGGCTATTCCGGGTCCACCTGGCTACCCCCTCATTGGGTCGTTCGCCGTTTTCATCGGGTCGACTCGCCACCGAGTGCTGGCCAAGCTCGCCAGGAGCTTCAAGGCCGAGGCTTTGATGTCTTTCTCCGTCGGTCTCAGCCGGTTCGTGATCGCCAGCCAACCGGAAACGGCGAAAGAGATGCTGAACAGCACAGCTTTCGCTAACCGTCCTGTGAATGAGACGGCCTACGAGCTTCTCTTCAACAGAGCGATGGGGTTCGCGCCGTACGGTGAGTACTGGAGGAATCTGAGGAGGATTGCAGCGACCCATTTGTTCAGTCCAAAGAGAATCGCTGGCTCTGAGGCTTTCCGACGCGAAGTGGGGCTGAAAATGGTCGAGGAGTTTAGGCGTATGATGTTGAAGAACGGCCAAGTTCAGGTGAAAAAGGTGCTTCATTTCGGTTCTCTGAACAATGTTATGATGACGGTTTTTGGGCGGTGCTACGAGTTCGACAAAGGCGGCGATGGACTGGAGCTTGAGAAACTGGTGACTGAAGGGTATGAGCTGCTGGGGTTGTTCAACTGGAGCAACCATTTTCCGTTTCTGAGTTGGCTGGATTTGCAGGGCGTAAGGAAGAGGTGCAGAAAGTTGGTTTCGAAAGTGAATGGTTTTGTTGGAAAAATCATCGAAGAACATAGGCTTGAGAGAGTGAAAGGTGGCAGCGTTGAGAATGAAAGGGTTGGAGATTTTGTTGATGTTTTGCTTGATTTGGAGGAAGATGACAAACTCAGCGATTCTGACATGATTGCTGTGCTTTGGGTACTAATTTTTTTTACTTCGATCTCTCTAATTTTTAGTTAGTTCAGTACTATTTCACTTGCCCTATTTGTTTTTTGTTTAGGAATTATGCACGAGTAGATTGTTTTTAAATAAAAATTATACCCCATTTGCACTAAAACGACAATATACAGACAACAAAATCATAATAAATATCGTTTTACTGCATGATTAATAACAATTAAACAACACCTGAAGTGGCTTAAAAGCCTTTTTCATTGCCTATTTAATCATATTAAATAGCGATTTTACTGCATGATTAATCACAACTAAACAACACTTAAGTGGCTTGAAAACCTTATAATTGTTTATTTAATCTGCCGGTAGTGAAAATTTTCTAGTTATGTTTTTCTGAAATGCTGCGCAAGTTTCACTTTATTTTTGGAAATTAGAATCTAAACTATTTAAATTACAGGAGATGATTTTCAGAGGAACCGACACAGTTGCCATACTACTAGAATGGATTCTTGCAAGAATGGTGTTGCACCCAGAAATCCAGTCCAAAGCTCAGTCTGAAATCGAAGCCGTGGTGGGCTCCACGAGAACCGTCCAGGGCTCCGACATTGCCAACCTGCCTTACCTCCAAGCCATTGTGAAGGAGTGCCTGAGGGTGCACCCGCCGGGCCCTCTCCTCTCCTGGGCTCGCATTGCCATCCATGATGTCTACGTGGGAGATAACTTTGTCCCGGCTGGAACTTCGGCCATGGTGAACATGTGGGCAATCACACACGACGCGAAGGTCTGGACTGAGCCGGAGAAGTTTAGTCCGGAGCGTTTCATGGCGGAGGATGTGAGCATCATGGGGACTGATCTGAGGCTGGCGCCTTTCGGTTCCGGAAGGAGGGTTTGTCCTGGAAAAGCGTTGGGATTGGCCACTGTCCAGCTCTGGCTTGCTCAGCTGCTACAGAACTTCAACTGGATTGGTTCGGAGAATGGTGACGTGGACTTGTCGGAGTGTTTGAAGCTTTCGATGGAGATGAAGAGCCCGTTGGTTTGCAGGGCGGTTCCTAGGTTTGTTTGATGAAGCTTTTTTGAGTTGTTAAACCAACCCTTGCGTGGTTTAATTAGCTTGGTTAACAAGTTAGGGTAGACTCTAGTTTGATTAAAGGAGTAAATCATGATTAGGTGCCAAGTTTTGGATATGTTAGCTGCCACAGTTGGGGAATCTCATGAACTACAACAAGTTTGGGTTTATCTTTTGGTTAAGTATTAGTAGTTTATGTTAATTAAATCGTGTTTGTGTAATGCATGGGCTGCTTAATGACTGTATAATACTGTTTGGAATATATCAACTTTGCTGATTCTATATATAGTTATTGTGTTTTATATTTGCTCATTCTAATTTGCCAAGCTGATATTGTTTCTTGTGCCTTAAGTTGTAAGTTCTTCACTCTGTCTAAGTTGATTAGGAAGATTGTTAACTTGGCCGATGAGGAAAAGTTCGACCCGCACGAGCCAATTTAATGTTTTTTTAAAGGCTAGAGGGATTAAATTTCTAAATCAAATTGGCTTATTATATTGAAGGAGTAGGATTCTTTTTCTTCTTTTTTCTCTTCCCCTTCCATTCATTTCTATTTGAACGATTATGGTTAAGTTATGTCAACGTTTTTTATTAATTTTATACAGAAAGATAAAATAGAGAATGTAAGAGGAGAGAAAAAAAGGGGATAGAAAGAGATCGGGAGAGAATCCTAGCCCTACTTTACATATTGTTTTACATATTATTGAATACATCTCACGTATTTAATACATTCCATATTTTCTTTTTTAATTTAAACTTATCTTAATACATCCCATTTACTTTCCTATAATACCCTTACACCCCACATTCTTACTATATACCTTACATTTTCTATGTACATCTCACATTCTTCAAATTTTAGGTGCAAATACCTAAGGTCTTCCAAAAGTACCTTCGATGTAAAGCTGAAGCTGGTGTGATTTCGAAATTTAAAAAAAATTTCTATTGGAGTGGTGCCAACAATTGTTTGATTATTTGCATGTGTTTATCCCTTCATGTTTCTCTATCCCTTCCAGGGAAAGAGGTGGAATGTAGGTATTTCGTACCAGTAGATGAGGAAGATGAGGAAGATAAAATCCATAAAAAATATGGTAGCTATAGACGTATAGAGCTTTATGTAGAGTAGGAGCAGTGGCACTAGGTAATGGGGATTAAATAAATGTTAGGGTTGATGATGATGATTCCTCTTCTTTTCCTTTAATCGAATCATGGGAATGGATTTAGTTATTGAATTATTGAATTAGAAGAAGAGATTAGGTTGTTACGTTGCTTTTAAAATCAAGGGATCTTTGTGATCTAATGTGGCTAAGGTTTATTAGGTGTGTGATTCTCATCATCAATCATATTTGTTTTTAATGGATATCATTCATAACGCAACTATATGCATGCTGATGTCGTTGAAATCACTAAAACAATGAAAATACGAAGTATTACCTCGTGTAAAGTTTCCGAAACGTTGATTTCACGAGTCATTCGTCAAGAATAATTTTTTCAATTAACGTGTTTGTGGTTTCATTAATTCTACAATGGAGGATGAGAATGATTTTGAGAGTTGAAGAAGATAAATAAACTTGGGATATACATGTGAAAAGTAGTTTGGGTTTTTATTTTTTTTTAAACCTTATAAGGTCAAAATTGTCATTACATATTAGGTATGTAAGTCATTTAATATTAAATTTTAATGAGATGTATTCAACATATTGTGGGATGCTAATAAAAAAAACCAATCAAATTTTGTAAGTCAAATAATGTGAATGTTGATAATTGGATTATTATTTTAAGCAAAGTCCTAAAAATTGCTAGGTGCTAGTCAGGCGGCAAGCAGGGGCCTAGCGTCTAGAGGGTTAGGCGGGCGCCTAGGCTGATTTATGTAAATTTATTATATATCTTGTAAATAAGTGTCCATTTACACACAAAAAAACTATATTTGTATGAATAATAAAAGAATAATAAAATGCAAAAATAGAAGTAGAAAATACACAAATTATATACATCCAAACAGTTCAATATTTAAAAAACAGCAAACATATAATCATAATGAGGAGGATTTGGATAATAGACTAAATTCTTCTTGTTCATGAATCATGATCCTTGTATTGGATTGGACATAAACTAAATTATTTAACCTTGTTGTGTCTAGTTTATTTTTTATTTTTTGTATGTATCCCCTCAAAATGCTCCAATTCGTTTCACTAATGGATGACCTTGTAGTAAATCCATCATATGCAAATTAGGTACACCATTTCCATATGTATACCACCTTGAAACCAAAAAGGAAAAAAACACACAATTAATAAAAAATTTAATAAATAAATAAATAAATATATACATATAAAACCTCCTAGGACCGTCTAGGGCCGCCTAGCTCTCCGCCTAGGACCACCTAGCTCCAAACCGATTTTTCGAAACGATTTGCCCAAAATCGGGGCGGACCTTCACCACCTAGCACCTAGGCGGCCGCCTAGGCCGATTTTAGAACACTGACTTTAAGTGATGATTAATAGACTTATTTTCTATTGGTATCATTTTTGGTTTAAAATTTTGGTCTTAGTAGCATTATTCTTTTCTAAACCAGCTTAATAGAAAGTAACTTGAGACGAGAAATGTAAAGAACGAAAGACGAGAAAGAGACATTTGTGACATAGTTGAGGGACAATACGAAAACAGATATGCCAAACTTAACTTTGAGATAGAGGGTGTATGAGGGGGCAATTCTTGCATAACAAAGACTGATTCACGACGTTGAGAGGAATGAGGTTCTTCTCTCGTTCTAGTGGTTTATAGTTTATGCATCTTATCGTATTTTAGGCATATGTGTGTAGTGACATCTTCGTTGCAGTAAGTTTATGTTGGTGTGTACGTGATTAATCATAATCGAGCAGCATGCATGAAGATTGAAGAACAAGAAGCAAAGATTTGATTCGATGGCTCTATGGATCGGGTGAGATTCATATTCCTTTACCTTTTTAGAAGATAGAGAAAGAATATATATCTTGATATGAGGAGCATGGCTATAAATAGACACAACTCCTTTTCATCTTGTAAAGGAGATGCAGTACTATACTTATGATAATCTTTTGCGTCTAAAATTGAGGACAGCTAGCTACTTTCTTTTTTTCTTGAGTTCAACTTTTTAACTCAAAAATATTTTTTGAGTTTTAGGCTTTGAATTCTTATTATAGGATTTTTTTTAAAAAATTGGATTCAAAACTAACTTAAAAACATAGGCTATTTCTTAAAAACGCTAAAGGTGAATTTTTAGAGTTTTTCTGCTCTTTCCTTAACATCTTCTTTTGCTCCTTCCTAACCCTCTTTTTTTTTGTCCCAATCCTCTCTTTCTTCTCTCCCTATGTCACACCTTGTCTTCTCTTTCTCCTCACCTTTTGTCTTGTCTCTGTCTCATCACACTCTCTTTCTTTTCACTCCTCACCTTCTCACCGTAATTTTTTGTTCTCTACCTAGCATCCTCATCCTCTCCCTGTCTTTCTCTCACTTCACCAACTATTTCTTCTCTCTTTTCTCTTTCCTAATTCTTTATCTCCCCCAATTTTTGTTCAAGGAAGTTTGAATTCAAACTAATTTTTTTTTTTAATTCAACCAAACAAATTTTTGAAATTTTGAGACTTAAAAGAAAACTGTTTTTAAATGATGTTATTTGAAAATTATTTTTAGGAACAATCAAAATTTTTTGGTAGGATACCAAACATGCTCTTAACTTTTCAAATTTCCTCATCACGTCACATTTAGTGACGAGAAATTATTTAATATCATAAAGATATCATAATATCATTGATTAGGTTACACATATTACTAACCCGATTCTGATTAATGCAGTTTTATTGTCAAAATACGTTTTAATATTCATCATTTTAAGACATCTTTGTAAAAACTAGAGATTGTTAGTGGTTCATATATATATATATATATATATATATATATATGTATATGGTTCGTTTAGTAACTTCTTATAATTCTAACTAAAAATCCAAATAAAAAGTATTAATTACCCTTAGTAATACTAACCATCTTTGGTTCATATTGATGAATCAATAATTCTCAATAACATCTCTTCGAGTCTCGCTATTGGTAATCATTCTTTTTTTTGAACAAACGATATTATCTACACTAAGGGAGGGTGGGCTTAGCCTCAAAATGGGCTAGCAATAATGTGGTTCAAATTCGCTTTTGGCGAGAATCGAACAAAAAATCTCTCACTTACAAGTAAAGAGGAATATCACTAGACTGTAGTTCTAAGTGGCTATCAGCAATCATTATTGGCGATCTGTAAAAACAAAAAAAAAGAGCTAAGATCCTTCATGTAAGTCCTTAAAGAGGCATGTGATATTAGGGCTGGAAAAAAATCCCAAAAATCCCAAACCAAACCGAAAAAATCCCGATCCCAAACCAAAAAAATCCCAAACCAAAAATCCCGAAATTTTCGGTATGTAATCCCGAACCAAACCGATATTTTCGGTACGGGATTCGGTTTTGAATCTCAAATTTTCGGTATTCCCATACCGAACCGAAAATAAATATTATATAATATATATATATATATTTTTTTCTTTTAATTATAAGAGAATTATTTCAACCGTTCATTGTTTTAGATTTAATCTTTGCCGTTCATATGTTTTTAGGTCAGAAACCATTTCACAACCATTTCACAAACTTCACTTTCGTTCTAGCCGACCCGAATCTCTTCTCTCGTCTCTGATCTCTCCCTCATCTAGCCGACGAGCCCTCATCTCATCTCTCTCTCTCTGTGACGAATTCCGGCCAGCCACCGGCCCACACCACCACACTTGACGAATTGCAGAGTTCACTACTTCACTTCTTCCTCGTCCTTTCCTTCCACAACCCACGGTCCACCTCAGGCATCCTCTTCCTTCTTCTTCTTCCTCCACCTCAGGTAAAAAAGTTCGTAACTTCCGTGTTTCTTACTTGTAAATTTAAGACTGTTTGGATGTATATGTTGTTCTGTTTGAATTAATGTTTGGGATTTAAGACTGCTTGGTTGAACTTTGAACTCGCTGCTTGCATGCCCTTCGTTTCACGGCGGTCGCGGCGCCCTACCCTCGGCCGGTGGGCATCCCTCCGATCTCACCTTCCTTGCCGGCGGTGGTTGCTGCTGAAAACGACGACCGCCTGTGTTTCCCCTTCTGGGTTTTTCGTCATTTTTCAGAACACTTCGTTTTTTATTAAGCTGTAGGAAATGGTTACGGTTAAGCAGTTTCAAGATGGTAACTTTTATCACAATGCTCTCCATTTTCTGTGCAAGGTTTATGATTTTTCTTGCTTTTGATTTGATGGGTTTGAATATTTGTGGTTGAATTTTATTGAGTAGTATCTGTTTTTTAGTTATTTTCTTGTTATATTTGTATTGATCGTGTTGTTTTCGATCGATTTATACTATCAGAAGGACTTCAAATTTTGTTGCTTTTATCGTTCCCATGGATTTTTTTCGAGTATTAATGAAGGAATGTTTACAGGTATAAAAATCCCCTTGTACCGCTTCGGTAGCAATTCGATATTGGATGATGGTTGTGCTGGACGCATTTCGTGCGTGCTAGAAGGAGAAGAAGAAGAGAGTGTATTAGATTCTATTGTTCTTGCTCAGGTATGGAGCATTGTGAATTATAATGTTGCTACTTGTAGATTTCTGTCATTGATTTATATGAATTTTCTCGATTTGCAGTGGGAAGATCGAATGTGGAAATATGGGTTTTTAATCATACTGCAAATACAATTCCATCTTGCTTCTCTTTTGTAATGCTATCTCTGTATTGCACATTCTTTTTGTGCAGGAAGTGATGCAATTCTTTTAGGTGCAGAGACCCTGCGCGGTTTGTACCCTGTTGAGACGATCTCCATTGTTGGAAAGATTTGCCCAATATTTTTTTTATTTGGTTGAATAAAAGTTAAGCCCATATGTGGGGGCTGTTACATTCAGTGGGCAGGCCCAATATTAGGTTTTTGTCCAATTGGACCAATATTAGCTTTTTTTTGTCCAAAAGCCCAAAAGCCCAAAATTATTTTTGGGATTCCCGATTTGTCCCGAAATCCCGAAACTATTTCGGGATTCCCGAAAATTGGGATTCCCGAAAATTTGGTTTGGGATCGGTATTGAAATTGGGATTCCCGAAAATTTCGGTATGGGAATCGGGACAAGGGTTTCGGTATGGGATCCCATACCGAACCACCCCTATGTGATATGCCGTATTCCTTGGTCTTGAGATGGGGTAGACTCCCCTTTTCCTCAAAATAATTTTTTTTGGGTAAAGTACAAAAAACTACCTCAATTATTGGTGTCATAACATTTTCATACCTCATCTTTTAAAATTGACAATGTCATACCTCATCTTATGAATTTGTGCCAATGTCATATCTCCGTCAAATTTTCTGTTAATTTTTCTGTTAAGTGCTGACGTGGCTATATGCAGATCCATTCACTAATAATTAAATATATTTTAATAATTAAAAATTAAAAAAATAATTTTTTTTAAACTCTCTCTCTCTCTCCCCCTCTCTCTTCCCAGTTTTAATAGAAAGTCGTCCCTCCCCCTCTCTCTCTCTTCCCCATCTTCCTGCAACCCATAAAGAAGAAGGAGGAGGAGGAAGAAGAAGAAGAAGAAAAAAAAAAAAAACCAACCTAGTTCGTCCCGCCCCCAACAAACCCAAAAAGAAGAAGAAGGAGGAAAAAGAAGAAGAAGAAGAAGAAAAAAAAAAACCCAAACCAAATCCAGTTCGTCCCCCCTCCCCCCACCATAAACCCAATCCCTTGCAACTCAGAAAGAAGGAGGAGGAGGAAGGAGAAGATGAAGAAAAGGAAAAAAAAAAATGGAAACCGAGTTCGTCCGTCCCCCCCAACCTGCAAAAGAAGAAGAGAGAGAAGGAAAAAAAAGGGTATGTCCCCCTACACCCAACCTGCAGAAGAATAAGCAGAAGAAGAAGAGAGAGAAGGAAAAGAAAAAAAAAAAAAAAAAGGACACCCGGTTCGTCCATCCGGCCCCCTCCCCCGACGGCGTACCCACCATCTTCCCTCCACATCCATTCCCCCCATTTTCCTGATTCCACCCCCCATTTTCCCGATTCCACCTCAACGAGATATGGGTTTTTTTTTTGGGTTATAGGTAGTGGGTGCAAGGTTGGGTGCAAAGGGTGGGTGGGAAGGTGAGGAGGTTGGGTGCGTAGAGTGGGTGCGGGGAGTGGGGAAAACAAATTGGTTTTTTTTTTTTTTTTTCCTCTTCTTTTTTCTGGGTTGAAGTTGCAGGAAGAGGGAAGAAGAGAAGATGGGGAGAAGAGAGAAGGGGGGAAGGGGAGGAACTGATTGTTGGTTTTTTTTCTTTTTTAACTTTTCTTTATTATTTTAATATTTAAACAATATTAAATGATTTTTTTAGTTTTTAATAATTTTTAATAGAAAATGGGCCCCGAATCAAGCCACGTCAACATTTAACTGAGAAATTCACTCCAAGCTAACAGAAGGTATAACATTGGCACAAATTCATAAGATGAGGTATGTCATTGTCAATTTTAAAAGATAATGTATGAAAGTGCCGTGACACCAATAGTTGAGGTAGTTTTTTGTACTTTACCCTTTTTTTTTGAACAAATGATAGTATCTACACTAAGAGATTGGGGAAATTGGCTAAACCTTACAATAGACTTGTCATGATAATGTGGTTCAATTTCGCATTTTGCGAGAATCTCATCTAAAACCTCACTTATAAATGAAAAAGAAAATCACTAGACTATAATACTAAGTGAACCCTCCCCCTAAACTTTTAACAACCAAAAACTAAATAATTTTCTACTAATTGATTTATGTAGCGATAATTTTTTAATATCTATTAAAAAGTAAATTCTTATGATTATAAATTTTTTACAGTAAAAATGTGATCATAATTAAGTGGACAAGGAAATGCACACATGAGGTGACACAAGTATTGTCCGTACTTGTTTTGATAAAATAAAGTTGGTGTAGTGCCAGCGGGGATGGGTAGCAAGGCCCGTTACAAAAACATGGGTATTTAATATCCTTTAAAAACAAATTACTTTGGGCCCAAATCGGACACTAATGAGCCCAAGAGCCCGAAAACTACGTCATCGTGCTCAACAGCTGGTTCCAACTGGTTTGCATCCACTCCGAGCTATGGCGTTCGCCAACTGCTAACACACTCTCTCCTTCTATCTCCCTCTCTCTCTCTCACTCCCAATCCTGAAATGGATCCGACCCCCACCACCCGCCGGACCCGGAAAACTCCACCCAAACCCGATTACTCAACCGTAGTCATCCATGACGACGATGGCTCCAACTCAGAATCCGAACGTCGGAGCAAACCCAAGAGCTCCGACCCGGAAACCGACCTCTACGCCACAATGGTCTACAAGGGTAATGCCGACGAAGACGAAGACGAAGATGACGACGCCTCTCTTCCTCCGCTCCTCAAACGCCTCCCCAAGGACTTCGGCGGCGGAGCTCCCATCGATTACTTCGATGACGAGGAGGAAGACGAAAATGGCGGCGATTTCGGCACAATGATCGTCAAGCCCGATCGGAATCGGGCCACGAGGAGGTCGCGCGACTTCAAGCGGGCGTCTTTCGACGATGGCGGAGACGGCGATGGGTTCTCGACCTTTGTGGTGAGGCCGTCGAGTGAGAGAGAGTCTGTTAGCGGGACCGTGGTGAGGAGGACAAGCAGCGGCGTTGGTTCGACGATGAGTAGGGCAGTGGCAAGCATGCAGGCCTCGTCGGAGTCAGGCTTTGGGAAGCAGAGGAGGGGCAGTGGGTCGTCGCAGGGCGAAGAGTATCGCCAAACCACTAAAATGTCTTCGAGTTCGATACCCGATAGCATTACCAGAGAAGACCCTACTGTGAAGTACGACCTGCTCAATGAGCTTGGTGGGTTTCTTGTACTTTCAACTTCTATGCATTTCAGCTGCTCCTGCATTTACTTCTGTTTAATTTTTCTGTGAAATTTAACTGTGAGTGGAACGAATGGCAGGGAAGGGGTCTTATGGCGCTGTTTATAAAGCTAGGGATATTAAGACGTCGGAGCTGGTGGCGATCAAAGTCATTTCATTGTCTCAAGGGGTATGTTTTAGTTATCTTCTTTTCGGTTTTTCGTGCATTTGATTTGTACTTGGTTTGAGTTTGAATTTTTGTTTTGATTGGTTTTAGGAGGAGGGTTATGAAGAAATTTGCGGTGAAATTGAGATGCTGCAACAATGTAATCATCCGAATGTGGTTCGGTATCTGGGGAGCTACCAAGGAGAAGAGTATCTTTGGGTAATGAATGGCATTTGCTTTGATTACTGGTGAAATTACTAAATTACGAAGCTGTTATTGGTTTTTTTTTTTTTTTTGTTTTGTTTTGTTTCGTTTTTTGTAAGTAGGTTAGTGCAAGTTCTGAGACCGTAGACTGCTCTGTTGTTGTGTCTTGTTAGATTGTGATGGAGTACTGTGGTGGTGGCAGTGTTGCCGACTTGATGAATGTTACCGAGGATGCTCTGGAGGAGTATCAAATAGCCTTCATTTGTAGGGAGGCGTTGAAGGTAAGATCAATTTTGATTGGATATTCGAGTTCAAAGCAAACAATTGCATCTCATTAAGGGGTTCTCCCCTGATTTTTTATGCCTAAATTTTGTCATGAAGTGCCTATAAAATGCTTCATATATGTTCTCTCAATTCTATATGTGCAAGTAAAGTAAACTATCTCAAAAAATTATTCAGTGCTGATGCCGCTTTACATACATTCATTTTCTAATCAGTTTATATTTTTCAGTGTGAAGTGTTTGCTGTATTTGAACAATATTTGTTTTGTACAGGGCCTTGCTTATCTGCACTCGATTTTCAAGGTCCACAGAGATATTAAGGGTGGTAATATTCTGTTAACTGAGCAAGGAGATGTCAAGTTGGGTGAGTGCAATTATCATTCGTTTATATGCAGTACTATCTCATTAAAGTTTTGGATGTTCTTTACATCCAAATTATGCAGTTCTTTCACACCTGATGATGTTCATACTCTTTTGTAATCCTTCAAAACCTTAGTGGCATTATTGCATCCTAAAAAAAGTGCCAAGGGGCTTTTTCCCTTTAATTAATTTTTCAACATTCCAAGTTGACAATGGAAATGGAGTATGTTCTGTACTATTCTGTTCTGTTTTAATTTTTCTTGTGCTTTTAACAACACTCTAACTCAACTTTGGTGTATGACAATGTTGGCAGGTGATTTTGGTGTTGCAGCTCAACTTACAAGAACCATGTCAAAGCGCAACACGGTATGTTAATTGTTTTGATAAGATGTATGTAATAGCTGCTTGCTGTATAATTCTGTTTAATTTGACTTAATTTGTTTTCCCAAAATTTTCCCTTATGGGTTCAGAAATTGCTAGTAGTTTGCTCTAAAGGTCAAATGCTTATTGTTTTTTTTCTTTCTAAATGCTGGGTATCATTCCGGGACTTTTAAAAGTAATATTAGTTTGCTGTAAAGGCCAAATGCTTATTGTTTTCCCTTTTTTTAATAGCGGGTATCTTTCTGGGACTTTTAAAAGTAATAATCAAGGGAATCCGATTCCCTGGACTTGACAATTACTAACATATCATGGTTTTATAGGAAGGACGGTTACAAACCTTGGCTTTTTGGTGATACTCTGTTTGTGCTTGATACAAGAAAGTTTTATTTATTTTATTCTCAGTTCATTGGCACTCCACATTGGATGGCTCCAGAAGTTATTCAGGAAAGTCGTTATGATGGAAAGGTATCATGTGATTCATTTCTACTGTACACAATTTTATTTCCTTTGTCTTGCTTGTTTCTTCTATATATGCTGCCCTTAGCAAGACTGACTTCTTGGTATAATTCCAGGTGGATGTATGGGCTCTTGGTGTTTCTGCAATTGAAATGGCAGAGGTAATATATGTTCAGGATGTTCTTTTCAAAACTGAAATGGGACTTATGACTATTGTATCCTATGTAGAGAACACTGGTATTATTAGCTCCCATGATGAAATAGTTGTTTATGTCTTAGCACCAATTAATTACTCATATTTCTTCACGAGATCACACCATTCATAGCAACGATCATTGATCATTGTCATATTCTCCTTGTAATTATTTTCAGGGCCTCCCTCCAAGATCTTCGGTGCATCCAATGAGGGTTAGTACTTTAACTTTTTAGTTTCTAATTACTCGAAAGTTAAATTACATATTTTTCATTTCAGTTTCTACCAAGGTTGCATGTTCAATTGGAACACAGATGTCACTTTCTTTGTTGCATAATCTTTCCTTCATTGCTTTTATTGACAATAGGTTAAAAGATAGCATTAGTAAAGATTTTATTTTTCTCAAGGGGCTTGTAGCTGAATTGCTTAAGAGTATGCACCCCTGCACCCGAGTTACTGATCTCGATTCCCCCCTCCCTATTATTGCTTGTAAGAAAAATTGGATGTTTCAAGAGAACTATACCTTGTAGATGGCCTCTGATACACACAAGTAGCAAAATTGTTATAACCAAGCATAAGAATGGATCCTGTGATGTGATGTGTGTTCATGGCTCAATGGTTATGTGGTTGAATGTTAATTTGTTAAAAAAAATTCCTCCTTTTTTTCCCTTTCTAGTTATTGTTTGTTGAGGGGATAAGTAACTTATTGATTGTCTATTATAGGTTTTATTCATGATATCCCTTGAGCCAGCCCCGATGCTTGAGGATAAAGAAAAATGGTCCGTTTTCATACTTTTGTATATCCGGTCTTTCTCTAGCATTATTGAGGACAGTAGCCTGTATGACAATTTTGAATAACTTTATGCTGTATCTTAAAGCAGTGTAGGTTTTATGATTTTATTGTTATGGGATTTGCGCTCAACCGAAAATTCTTTATTACTATAACCCACTGCCTTGGAATGTGATTCTTTGCCCGGGACTTATCCGATTTGAGTTTAATCTGTTCTTCTTTTGAGAGGAGTTGCAATAGAACTATTGAAGCTCTCATCAAACCTTAAAAGAGTTCTGATATAAATTCTTACCAGTGCAAATTATTATGTCCACGATAGTTCTAACCTTTTCTTATGTATAATTCCATTGTTTTTTGCTTTTTATTGTGCAGCATTGTGCTCAAATAGTACTGCGTTCTTTTGCAGGTCTCTTGTGTTTCATGATTTTGTGGCAAAGTCCCTAACTAAAGAACCTCGTCTACGCCCTACTGCATCTGAGATGCTGAAGGTACTGCTAATAGTCAATGGCAATATGTTATATTGACAAAATGGTATTATGAAGAAGAACCTCTGTTTAAAATCTTTTATGTCATGATAAACTATTTTTCTTCAAAATCAAATTCTTTAGTGAAAGAATCACTTAAAGCAATAATTTATACAGAAACTTTGATGTTGGAATAATTCTATTGACCTTGAAGCAGATTTGGATACCTATAATATTGAAAGAAAATAAACATATCTTCATCTTTGCCAAGTGCTCATAATCTTGGATATTTTGTATCTTTATTAATATTTTATTTAAATGCAGCACAAGTTCATTGAAAAATGCAAATGTGGTCCCTCTGCAATGTTGGCAAAGATTGAAAAGGCAAGGCAAGCAAGGGCTTCAATGGCTTTGCAAGCACAAAATATTGCTCCACCTGAACGGGACAATGTATGAATTCTCATTTTGTTTCTTCTTGTGCAACTCATGTCAAGTTACTCTCATCTTAAATGTTGTTTATAACTTGAAACAGACAATTGAAGCTCCCAAAGTCAATGAGGATTATGGAGATACTGTCCCTTCAAGGCCACTTCAAGGAGAAAATGAAGTATCTTCAGGTAGCACATTGAGGAAGCAGCACATATCTGGTGATGTGGGAATGGCTGGGGAAGGTATGCATGTGTTTGACTTCTTGGTGTGTGTACATGATAGATACTTATCTTTGGGAACTTTAGTTCGAATGGGCCAATTTATGCTTGGATATTGAATTCTGAGAAGGGATGTACTAGTTATTCCTTTGATTTTTTTTTTCCCTTTACACATTTATTGTTATTTCTTTTTCAATTGCATGAAATATGGCGATAAACTCACCTGTGGGCCTGACCTTATGTTGTCGTAGTATCAAACTTTCAAGGGCAGAATGGTTTAGCTATTACTGATAGTGACATCATTTAGTGCTCTCTCTCTCTCTCTCTCTCTCTCTGAGGGACATGACATCACTTGATGTTCGAAATTGTGGGATTGTTGGTTGAATGTATCCTAGTGAAATGATTCTGCGGGCACATAATTGTTAACTCCTTTATTTGACAATCTATTTGCTCTTTGGGTAGGATACGATCCATCTGATGTATGTGAAACCTATGTTTAACAGGTAACTTTGGCACTTTTATTATTCATGAGGGGGATGAAAGAGATGAGATCTCTAGCGAGACAGAGAGTTTTAGTGCCAAAGAACCTTCACCTGCTCCTGGATTTCCTGAAAGCTCTTCCAATACTGGCGCAGGAGGCAAATTGCCCGAACCCAGGTACTGCCCTCACTTTTTATTCGTGAATTCTATTTAGAAATCTTGTTTTAGATTCCCCCCCCCCAAAAAAAAAAAAAAAAAGGTTGATAAGATTGGTTTATGTAATATCAATTACCTAGTCAAAAGATAAACTTAGTTTCACAAGAGTGCTCTGAATTTACGATGATGCTTCTATCAGGGAGGAAAATTCAAGTGGTATTACCCAAAACAGCAGTCCAGTTGCGCACACTCTACGGGCATCTGAGCCGAGCCTAAAGACAAAGGGCATATCTCAAGTCCAGGTTGGAGGCCCAAGCAGTATAAGCAGTGGCACGGTAAAGAATGAAACTGTCAGCCGGAAAGCTTTTGCAATGCAAGATAAGGTAATATTCGTACTGAGGTCTATGCTTGCCAGTTGATAGGTCCCTATCACAGTCGGACATGCCTTCCTCATTTCTTCTCCCTCAAGGGGCATCTCTAATTCCCTCTCCTCTGACTAATCGAAAACTGTCCCAACTTTTTGACTTAAAAACCTGCCCTTCCTAAAAAAATGTGTCAACAGGCTCAACACTGGTATATAATTTGCTTATTTTCATGTTCATGGCAGCTTTGGTCCATATATGCAGCTGGTAATACAGTGCCTATACCATTTTTGAGGGCAACCGATATATCCCCCATTGCTCTCTTATCAGACAATGTTCTTGGAGGCATGCATCAAGATAACAGTGGAACTGTAGCCATGGAGGCACTACAGGAGCTTTTTACTGGTGATGGACAGTCTAAGAAGGGACGAAGAGGGCAAAACGAGGTCAAGTCTCTCTCTCTCTCTCTCTCTCTCTCTCTCTGCATTCCCTCCCTCTCTCTAAGCATTTTTGATCTATTGGTGCGCTGCAGATGCCCCTCCCTCCAAGTGTTTACAAAAGGCTCTTTACAAGTCCAACTCTAATGAATCTGGCACAAGCATTAGCCTACCACAAGATGTACGTCAACCAAATTATATTTATCGAACTTTTACTTTGGCTCGGTAAAGAATTAAAAGAAAATTGTTGTGTTTTGTGTGTAATATGTGAGCATACCACATCATCTCTGCTGCGGTAAGCATGTCCTGCATGCTGCAGCCCTTGCTTGCATTGCTTGTTATTTACTCGAGGGGTTTCATTTGCCTTCAGGTGCTACGAAGATATGCCGCTCCAAGAAATGCAAGCAACTCAGGAACAACAGACTATTCAAAATCTTTGTGATACACTAAGAACCATTCTTAGATTGTAGGTGGAAAATGTAGCTGCCAAAGTGTAATTTTGTTTACTTTCAATAATCTATGTCGCTGTCGCAATGGCGTATTTTTTAAGCCAAGGAAGGAGTTGTGCCCGGTTAACGGGAGGTAGGTTTAGTTGCGGTCTACCTACTGCAATGTCGGTTCCGATGGGTATGCCCCGGTATAAATTCCATCAAGTACATAACTTATCAGTTGGTAGTTTTTTGTGAGTTTGTAAATTATGCTCTACCTTGTACATTACACCCAGATGAATCATTTTTGTAAGTGGTTTTTTGCTCTTGTTTTTCTTTAACTAACACACCCCGACCCGGATATTCAACGTGGACACCCGAATCGAAGTATGTTGGTTGACATCTAGAAGGTGATGAGGCTATATGGTGAAGAGTGCGCAGTGTGCGGGTGAGGACCTAATTAACAATGCATCTGTCAAAGCATAAGTACGAGTGCAACGTAAAGTAAAGAATGCTCTCAGGATCATTATTTACCGTTAGCAATTGGTTATTGACATTATTCACATTGTAAAGTGTCAAATAATGAAATTTTGAAAATGTTTGTAATTTGGTCAGTTCAAATGCCTTGAAGTGAAAAAAATGCAAAGCAAACTCAACTCGAATGAATTTTCTTCAATCATCGAGTTGGTTTACTTTCACATCGCACCTTGACGTGAAATCGCATCAGAGGATCAAATGGTCAAACAGATGAACATAAATTGTTACGATTTTAAAATCTTATGGAGCAATGTAAGAAAATAATACCACGGTAGCTATTTTGAAAAAAAACTGAACATGAAGGGTGTAAAGTGTAATTACCTTAAAAAAGAAGGCATAAACTAAAATAAAATATAAACTGTGCAGTGAGGGAGCGGTCCGACCGGAAATAATGAAACAGAGCGGGCAGCGGCGGGCAAATACTAGAAAGTAGAAAATTTTGGTTGCCAAAACCCAGAAGGCAAAAGAGGGAGAAGAATGATTCGGAGGAGGAGCCTCGGCCTTGTACGGTGGCACAGTGCTCGCAGTTGCGTCGCCTCCTCTTCTTCTGCGTCGTTCAGAAGCCTCTCTTTCCTAACATCCCACCCCAAACTTCAAAAACCCTCTCTCCTCCTAAACCCTAAACCTCTTCCTCCTCATCCTTCTTCTTTGCCCTCTCTTTCTCTTAAACCAAATCCCAATATATTTCCTCCCGCTGCTCTACGTTTCGTAAGCACCAAATCCTCCGAGGATGTTGAGGAGGACATCCCAGATGATCGTTTTCCAGGTGCTCCTTTTATTTCATCGTTTTTTTTTTTCTATCTATTTTTCTGTCAATTGTGTGTGTGTGTGTATTGCTCTTCACTAATTATAATTAGTTGGGAAGCTCTAAATTGGTATTTTAAATAATTAAGTAGCTCCATTCCATTGTCTTAAGAAGCAAATGCTACTGCTTTCCACTGCATTTTCTAACAGGGCACTAAATGGTCTGCATTAGACCCGTTTAATAGAATTGTGTTTCTATTATTTATGCTATCTTCCTTCTACATTTACTATTTTTCGGTCACTTTTTGGCAGTTTATAGAACAATGTATTCACATTCACTTTTTTTCGTATGTTTATACCTAAACTATACAACAACAACAACAACAAAGCCTTTTCCCACTAAGTGGGGTCGGCTATATGAATCCTAGAACGCCATTGCGCTCGGTTTTGTGTCATGTCCTCCGTTAGATCCAAGTACTCTAAGTCTTTTCTTAGAGTCTCTTCCAAAGTTTTCCTAGGTCTTCCTCTACCCCTTCGGCCCTGAACCTCTGTCCCGTAGTCACATCTTCGAACCGGAGCGTCAGTCGGCCTTCTTTGCACATGTCCAAATCACCGGAGCCGATTTTCTCTCATCTTTCCTACAATTTCGGCTATTCCTACTTTACCTCAGATATCCTCATTCCCAATCTTATCCTTTCTCGTGTGCCCACACATCCCACGAAGCATCCTCATCTCCGCTACACCCATTTTGTGTACGTGTTGATGCTTCACCGCCCAACATTCTGTGCCATACAACATTGCTGGCCTTATTGCCGTCCTATAAAATTTTCCCTTGAGCTTCAGTGGCCTACGACGGTCACACAACACGCCGGATGCACTCTTACACTTCATCCATCCAGCTCGTATTCCATGGTTGAGATCTCCATCTAATTCTCCGTTCTCTTGCAAGATAGATCCTAGGTAGCGAAAACGGTCGCTTTTTTGTGATCTTCGCTAGATTGCTCCGGTCATTAGTGTGGATAAGTATATAAATGGATAGAGATAGGAAAGCAAACACAAGATGTACGTGGTTCACCCAGATTGGCTACGTCCACGGAATAGAAGAGTTCTCATTAATTGTGAAGGGTTTACACAAGTACATAGGTTCAAGCTCTCCTTTAGTGAGTACAAGTGAATGATTTAGTACAAATGACATTAGGAAATATTGTGGGAGAATGATCTCGTAATCACGAAACTTCTAAGTATCGGAGTGTGGTGTCGTCTTGACTTGCCTTATCTGTCTCATAGGTAGATGTGGCATCTTCTCTGGAAGTACTCTTCCTCCATCCAGGGGTGGTATCTTCAACTGGTGGAGATGCACAAGGTAATGTATCAATTTCACTTGAAGCTTACTTGTAGTTTCAGGCTTGGTCAAGCGCGATACAAACCATGTAGTAGGAGTCCCCCAAGTCGCCGAGCTAGGGGGTCTGCTGAAAGAGGTGACAGACAAGGTAAGCAATCAGAGCTCCGACTGATTGTTCACCTTCTCCCCATCTTGCAGCAGCATGAAGGATAAAAGAGAAGAAAAATGAGAAGAGATGATATGAGATACTTTTGCTTTTGAAGAAGTAACTTTCCACAGGCTTATTCTTGAACTGAGCTGGAGGGTTTTCTGGTTTCCTCCAGAGTATAAGGCCGACTGAAGAATTTGAGGGTCAAAACAAGTCCATCAAATCTAGAGTACGTTCCACCCTGCTGATATGTGATACTTTTGCTTTTGACAGAGTAATGGATGTATCGGCACGTGTGCTGTTACGCTTGTCTCCACATGCTTCCTTGTATCCTTCGCACTTGCCCTATCTGTTCCTCAAGCAGATGCGGAATCTTCCCTGGAAACATAAGATGTTGAAGATGAGTACTCGAGAGCAATGCCAGGTAAGTAATCAGGTAAGGGGTTCCAGGCAGTCAGTTCCTGGCTGGAAGCTTGATTCCAAGTGCTGACTGATTGCTCTCTTTCTCCTTGTCTTGCAGGTAAAAACAAGGCCAAAGGAAAAGAAAGGGAAAAAGCATGATATGGGATACTCTTGCTTTTAACCCTGATGATATGAGATATTCTTGCTCTAGTATAGCTTGTTTGCAGAGGTATTATCGGGGGGAAAGAAAGCTGAATATTTCGAAAGGCTTCGTTGGGAGTGCCCTCTCAGATATGATGAAGGGTTGAGCATTTTTGCAGGTCTGCCTGTCCGTTGGGGATGGAGGTCGACATATATAGGAGTCTCCCTAACAACAAGTAGTAATGCTATTCCTTTACCCTGCTTGGTCATAGCACGGTAGTGGGAGCTGCCAGTTTCACATGTTTTAACTCTGTCAGAGCACTTTGAAAAAGTGGTCTGTGGTATCTGGCTCTCGAGATTCGGAGAACGATGCCTCTTCGATTTTTGAGAAAGCAATCATGCTGGGGGTCTGGCTCTCGAGATTCGGAGAGCAGTGTCTCTTCGATTTTTGAGGAAGTAATCATGTTGGGAGTCTGGCTCTCGAGATTCGGAGGGCGGTGCCTCTTCGATTTTGGAGCAAGCAATCCTGTTGGGAGTGTTGTCTCGAATGTGAGTAAAGGTTGGGCATGTTTGCTAGTCTACCTTGCCACGAAGCACAGAGGTTGACACACAGGGACTTTCCAATTATCCAGCAGTGGTACTGTTCCTTTACCCTTGTGGGTAATAATATGGTAGCTAGACCTTCAAAATTTATGGGTCTAAACTTTGTTAGTGCTGTTTCTTTGCTATTCTTTTACCCTTCTTGGTCAGAACGATGTAGTGGGAGCTGCAAGCTTCACGTGCTCAACTTTGGCAGAGAACTTTGGCAAAATTATCTGTGTTACCCATGAGCTATTGTTGCGTGTGGGAAGTGGGTGATTGAACAGTAAGATTCATGTGCTTTCTACTTCACCAGAAGTCTTCGACAGAATGCCCATAATTTCTGCAAAGCTGAGTGTGCGTGTGACAGGTGCTGACAAGGCTAGAAAAGTAGGTGGCTCTTCGATTTCTGAGATCGGCCCTCGTGGTCTCTGAGCAGCCCAGCTTTTTGAGAAAGCGAGCGCCTCTTCGATTGATTCGGAGAACGATGCCTCATCGATTTTTGAGAAAGCAATCATGCTGGGGGTCTGGCTCTCGAAGATTCGGGGAGTAGTGTCTCTTCGATTTTTGAGAGAAAGTAATCATGTTGGGAGTCTGGCTCTCGAGATTCGGAGGGCGGTGCCTCTTCGATTTTGGAGCAAGCAATCTTGTTGGGAGTGTTTTCTCGAATGTGAGTAAAGATTGGGCATGTTTGCTAGTCTACCTTGCCACGAAGCACAGAGGTTGACACACAGGGACTTTCCAATTATCCAGCAATGGTACTGTTCCTTTACCCTCTCTTCGATTTTTAAGAAAGTAGTCATGTTGGGAGTCTGGCTCTCGAGATTCGGAGGACGGTGCCTCTTCGATTTTGGAGCAAGCAATCTTATTGGGGTGTTTTTCTCGAATGTGAGTAAAGGTTGGGCATGTTTGCTAGTCTACCTTGCCACGAAGCACAGAGGTTGACACACAGGGACTTTCCAATTATCCAGCAGTGGTACTGTTCCTTTACCCTTGTGGGTAATAATATGGTAGCTAGACCTTCAAAATTTATGGGTCTAAACTTTGTTAGTGCTGTTTCTTTGCTATTCTTTTACCCTTCTTGGTCAGAACGATGTAGTGGGAGCTGCAAGCTTCACGTGCTCAACTTTGGCAGAGAACTTTGGCAAAATTATCTGTGTTACCCATGAGCTATTGTTGCGTGTGGGAAGTGGGTGATTGAACAGTAAGATTCATGTGTTTTCTACTTCCCCAGAAGTCTTCGACAGAATGCCCATAATTTCCGCAAAGCTGAGTGTGCGTGTGACAGGTACTGACAAGGCTGGAAAAGTAGGTGCCTCTTCGATTTCTGAGATCGGCCCTCGTGGTCTCTGGGGAGCCCAGCTTTTGAGAAAGCGAGCGCCTCTTCGATTTCTGAGATCGGCCTTCGTGGTCTTTGAGCAGCCCAACTTTTGAGAAAGCAAACACCTCTTCGATTTCTGAGATCAACCCTCGTGATCTCTAAGCAGCCCAGTTTTTGAGAAAGCAAACGCCTCTTCGATTTCTGAGCAGGCGCCTCTTCGATTTTTGAAGCTCCGTCGAGTGCAGATTTTTATAGGGGCTGGCATTAAGTTCCAAAGCACACTTGAATCTCCACCAGTAGAAGCTTCATTCTTGCACTTCTAAGATCTTGATTTGTCCGACCTCTTCTCTCTTCAACACCTTTGAAAATGTCTGGCCCCTCCGACCGTCGTTTTGACTTGAACCTTGTTGAAGAGGCAGCCCCGCCTTCTCCAGACAACATATGTCGCCCATCCTTCGTCTCCCCTACTGGTCCTCTTACCGTTGGGGATTCCGTGATGAAGAATGATATGACCGCTGCGCGGTGGTGGCCAGGAACCTTCTCACTCCCAAAGATAACAGACTACTTTCCAAACGGTCTGATGAGTTAGCTGTTAAGGATTCGCTGGCTCTCAGTGTTCAGTGTGCAGGTTCTGTGTGTCTAATATGGCCCAACGCCTATTTGCTCGAACCCGCCAAGTTGAATCATTGGCGGCTGAAGTGATGAGTCTCAAACAGGAGATTAGAGGGCTCAAGCATGAGAATAAACAGTTGCACCGGCTCGCACATGACTATGCTACAAACATGAAGAGGAAGCTTGACCAAATGAAGGAAACTGATGGTCAGGTTTTACTTGATCATCAGAGATTTGTGGGTTTGTTCCAAAGGCATTTATTGCCTTCGTCTTCTGGGGCTGTACCGCGTAATGAAGCTCCGAATGATCAACCTCTGATGCCTCCTCCTTCTAGGGTTCTGTCCAGTACTGAGGCTCCAAATGATCCCCCTCCGGTGCCTTCTCTTTCTGGGGCTCTACCGACTGCTGAGACTTCTCCTAAGCAACCTTTGTGAAGGCTCCCTCTTGTGTGTTTATTTTGACTCATGTATATGTACATATTTGTAGCTTATCGGGGATATCAATAAATAAGCTTTCCTTCATTTCAACGTATTGTGTTAAATACACCAAAGCCTTCTTCGCTAAGTTCTTTGAATTTTCTTTTGTTGAAGCTTGTATGTTGAAGCTTTCTGAGTGGAGCATGTAGGTTGGGGTAGTGTTCCCTTAATTTCCCGAGTGAGGAAAACTTCTCGGTTGGAGACTTGGAAAATCCAAGTCACTGAGTGGGATCGGCTATATGAATCTTAGAACGCCATTATGCTCGATCCTGTGTCATGTCCTTCGTTAGATCCAAGTACTCTAAGTCTTTTCTTAGAGTCTCTTCCAAAGTTTTCCTAGGTCTTCCTCTACCCCTTCGGCCCTGAACCTCTGTCCCATAGTCGCATCTTCTAATCGGAGCGTCAGTAGGCCTTCTTTGCACATGTCCAAACTACCGTAACCGATTTTCTCTCATCTTTCCTTCAATTTCGGCTACTCCTACTTTACCCCGGATATCCTCATTCCTAATCTTATCATTTCTCGTGTGCCCACACATCCAACGAAGCATCCTCATCTCCGCTACACCCATTTTGTGTACGTGTTGATGTTTCACCGCCCAACATTCTGTGCCATACAGCATCGCCGGCCTTATTGCCGTCCTATAAAATTTTCCCTTGAGCTTCAGTGGCATACGGCGGTCACACAACACGCCGGATGCACTCTTCCACTTCATCCATCCAGCTTGTATTCTATGGTTGAGATCTCCATCTAATTCTCCGTTCTTTTGCAAGATAGATCCTAGGTAACGAAAACGGTCGCTCTTTGGTATTTCTTGATCTCCGATCCTCACCCCTAACTCGTTTTGGCCTCCATTTGCACTGAACTTGCACTCCATATATTCTGTCTTTTGATCGGCTTAGGCGAAGACCTTTAGATTCCAACACTTCTCTCCAAAGGTTAAGCTTTGCATTTACCCATTCCTGAGTTTCATCTATCAACACTATATCGTCTGCGAAAAGCATACACCAAGGAATATCATCTTGAATATGTCTTGTTAACTCATCCATTACCAACGCAAAAAGGTAAGGACTTAAGGATGAGCCTTGATGTAATCCTACAGTTATGGGAAAGCTTTCGGTTTGTCCTTCATGAGTTCTTACGGCAGTCTTTGCTCTTTCATACATATCCTTTATAGCTTGGATATATGCTACTCGTACTCCTTTCTTCTCTAAAATCCTCCAAAGAATGTCTCTTGGGACCCTATCATACGCTTTTTCCAAATCTATAAAGACCATGTGTCCTTTTTCCCATCTCTATATCTTTCCATCAATCTTCGTAAGAGATAGATTGCCTCCATGGTTGAGCGCCCTGGCATGAACCCGAATTGGTTGTCCGAAACCCGTGTCTCTTGCCTCAATCTATGCTCAATGACTTTCTCCCAGAGCTTCATTGTATGACTCATTAGCTTAATACCCCTATAGTTCATGCAATTTTGTACGTCGCCCTTATTCTTGTAGATAGGCACCAAAGTGCTCGTTCGCCACTCATTTGGCATCTTCTTCGTTTTCAAAATCCTATTGAAAAGGTCAGTGAGCCATGTTATACCTGTCTCTCCCCAAAAGTTTCCACACTTCGATTGGTATATTGTCTGGGCCTATTGCTTTTTTATGCTTCATCTTCTTCAAAGCTACAACCACTTCTTCCTTCCGGATTCGACGATAAAAAAGAGTAGTTTCTACACTCTTCTGAGTTACTCAACTCCCCTAAAGAAGCACTCATTTCATGTCCTTCATTGAAAAGATTATGAAAATGACCTCTCCATCTGTCTTTAACCGCGTTCTCTGTAGCAAGAACCTTTCCATCCTCATCCTTGATGCACCTCACTTGGTTTAGGTCCCTTGTCTTCTTTTCCCTTGCTCTAGATAGTTTATAGATATCCAACTCTCCTTCTTTGGTATCTAGTCGTTTATACATATCGTCGTAAGCCGCTAACTTAGCTTCTCTGACAGCTTTCTTCGCCTCTTGCTTCGCTTTTCTATACCTTTCACCATTTTCATCGGTCCTCTCCTTGTATAAGGCTTTACAACATTCCTTCTTAGCCTTCACATTTGTTTGTACCTCCTCATTCCACCACCAAGATTCCTTTTGGTGTGGGGCAAAGCCCTTGGACTCTCCTAATACCTCTTTTGCTACTTTTCGGATACAACTAGCCATGGAATCCCACATTTGGCTAGCTTCCCCCTCTCTATCCCACACACATTGGGTGATTACCTTCTCTTTGAAAATGACTTGTTTTTCTTCTTTTAGATTCCACCATCTAGTCCTTGGGCACTTCCAAGTCTTGTTCTTTTGTCTTACTCTTTTGATATGTACATCCATCACCAACAAGCGATGTTGATTAGCCACGCTCTCTCCTGGTATAACTTTGCAATCCTTACAAGTTATACGATCCCCTTTCCTCATTAGAAGAAAATCTATTTGTGTTTTTGACGACCCACTCTTGTAGGTGATCACATGTTCTTCTCTCTTCTTAAAGAAGGTGTTGGCTAAGAAGAGATCATATGCCATTGCAAAATCCAAGATAGCTTCCCCATCCTCGTTTCTCTCCCCAAAACCATGGCCACCATGAAAACCTCCATAGTTGCCTGTCTCCCTGCCCATGTGTCCATTTAAATCTCCTCCTATAAATAACTTCTCCGTCTGAGCAATTCCTTGCACCAAGTCTCCAAGATCTTCCCAAAATTTCTCCTTCGAACTCGTATCCAACCCTACTTGAGGTGCGTACGCACTAATCACATTGATAAGTTCTTGTCCTATTACAATCTTGATTGCCATGATTCTATCTCCTACCCTCTTGACATCTACAACATCTTGTACCAAGGTCTTGTCCACGATGATGCCAACACCGTTTCTCGTTCTATTTGTGCCCGAATACCAAAGTTTAAACCCTGAGTTTTCTAGATCCTTTGCCTTACTACCAACCCACTTAGTTTCTTGTAGGCACATAATATTTATCCTTCTCCTCACCATAACTTCCACTACTTCCATAGATTTTCCCGTTAAGGTTCCTATATTCCACGTTCCTAAACGCATTTTGCTCTCTTGAACTCTACCCTTCTGTCCTAGCTTCTTCACCCTCCCCCGTCTAATAGGATCAAAGTACTTCTTTTGTGTGTTCCGGGTAAAGTTGATAGGAGCATATGCTCCCAAACAACTTTGAGTGGAGTCGTTCGAAAAGAAGTTTTTATGGCCCCCTTGCTCATTTAACACTGCATCCGGGTGCCGATGGAGATACAGCGACCCTTGCTCACTTATCACTGTGCTTGGGCCACACAGCGCGCCACTTACGGGTGACGCCCTAGCTTTAGCGCGATTTTGTTCTGGATTCATTTTCATAAGGATTCGACGTGATCATGGAGTGCCGGCTGTCGACTACCTGACGCCCTCCCCCTCCTCCTTTATCCGGGCTTGGGACCGGCCATGTAAGACATAGGCGGAGTTTTTATACCTAAACTATATGTGGTTTTTTATATTGTTGTTTCTCAAGGGTGTACAAGTTTCGCATTTTCAGGTGACGAAATTGAAGAGGGAGACACCACAGATGGCTGGGAGGAAGAGGATGCCGGCGAGCCTGAGGTAAAATGTTTTGGCTTCGACATTTTGGTTCTCCACCTTCATTTTAGCTTTAAAGTTTATGTTGTCATTGATGTTAGTTATCGATTTGGACAGATTGGTGATGGAGGCGATGGTGGTGGGGTGGTGTTTCAGGGTGTCCCTTGGGGCGAGCGGGCTTTGTCCATTGCTCATGAGGTCTTAACACAATTCGAAGATAATGTGAAGCTCTTCTCTTTCAAGACTACTCCTCGAGGATATGTATATGTGAGACTGGACAAACTGTCAAACGAGTAACTCTTCTGCTCTTTTTAGCTATAAACATTAAACCAGCTTAGCATACAAGCTTTGGCAGCTAAACGAATTTACATTTTCCAATTTCAATTAAGTATTTTTTTCATAGACTGCAAATAGGAGAGTCACACATGCTTAAGATGTTATACTATAGATTTTCGGTTGATTGATCGTTTGATGCAGGCTACTTGCCACAAAAATAGGCTTTGATCAAGGCCTTCTTTTCTCTTCAGCATAATTTGTGTTTGTTTTGTAGGTGGAGAAAACGAGTTCCGTAATTGTACAATGATGAGAGTTTTCTTCACATTCAACTCTTTGATGTTAACGATATGACATAGCATAAAAGAACTTACGTTTTACAATGGGGTGTGCTATCCACACACCTTTTTACTTCTCACACCCTTTTAATTTTTGACCGTCAGATTGGATGAATTGAAGAAGATCATATGATAGAAATTAACAAGGAGTGTGTGAGAAGTAAAAAGTGGTGTGTGGATAGCACACCCCTTTACAATTTATACAAAAATAGATGAAAGGAGAAGGCTTGATCATGGCATTTCTTTTATTTGGCATAATTTGTGTTTGTTTTGAAGATGGAAAATATAAATGAACTGTTCCTTCATGTGCAACCTTCGAAATGTTATTCTGGCATGATATTCTACTTTTATCAGATACGGTTGTCCCGGCATGGAGGAACTTGAACGCTACAATCAAGAGTACAAGAAAAGACTAGATGAAGCTGGAGAACTTGGAGAAATACCTGAAAATTTGGCTCTTGAGGTATTAAGTGGCTGGATTTATCATGTGTTAGTGAATGGAAGTCAATTTTATCCGTACAAACATGTTTAATATATAACTATGTCTTGTTCTGAAGGTGTCATCTCCTGGTGCGGAGAGGTTGCTAAAGGTACCGGATGATCTACAACGGTTTGAAGACATGCCTATGAGGGTATGCTATGCAGAAGAAGTGGATTCTAAATACCGAGAAAAGGACGGAGTGTTCGATCTGGAGTCCATTGAGGCAGAGTCAGAGAGCTGTGTGTGGAAGTTGGCAAATGTGAAGGCAAACAGGGACCCTAATAGCAAAGGCAGACCGTTAACACGTAAACAGCGGGATTGGAGATTAAAATTGCCATTTTCAGAGCATAAAAGGGTACTTCTGTATCTAGAGTACTGAAAATCACCAATCTAATTGTATCTTAGGACTCGAGTTTCTAGAGCTTCGTGATGTTTGAGGCGAAAATGTTGGTAGGAAACACATATTTTAGCAGAACGCCTGTGTCCTTGCACTTCGTATCCTGCCTGGAATTTTGTTTCGAGAATTTAACTCGGGTGAAGTATTTAACATCATAATTTTTCAAGACATGAGTGAGACTGAGTTTCATATCTTTAGGGTTCCACTTTGCTTCCCATCCTCTGCCATGCCTAGGGCAAACTCTTGGTGGGATTGGTACGGGCAACAATGGTTGACCCCTGTAAAAGGCGTACCCCAGACACCAATGGTTTGTACTGGCAACAATGGTTGACTTGAGAGATTAAAACTATACCCTATCCGGAGAAAATGAGAGTCAAAATCATTACATTATTAAGATCTCATTGTTTCCAAGGTGCTAATATAAGCTTTCAACTTGTTTTTGCATGGTAATAATACACCACAAATGTTTTAGGGCAACGGTTTAACTCACTTGCGATATTACTAATTCACGTGTTATAATATAAATGAACGTCAGAGTTAATATTCAGGACAGTCAGATTGTCACACAGGAAAGTTACTCATACCATAGCAGTGAGAAAAGGAGCAAGGAGAATCTGAAGTGAGCAACTGGATTGAGTTGAAGAGAATCTATGGGAATATTTGAAAGGGAGAGAGAAAAGGGTCACTCCGTCACTAATTACAATTCATAATTGTAATTAGTTTAAAATACCGTTATAATAATGTTCGGTTCTCTATAAATTTCTTTCTGAGAAGCATCATTCTAAACAGAGTATTTCAGTGAGGGATTTTTCTTGACCTAAGGATTAAACATGAAATTAAAGGATCCAACCAAAATTAGTGGAAAACAACCGAAAACTGGCAAGAAGCAACTACCTCCCCCTCCCTCCTCCCTCCTCCCACCTCCCACACGGACAGCCAGACAGGGATTTGGATCCTCTCCTGAGCAGGGGTCCGAATTCTCCTAACCCAATAATACGGACGGTTGGATTTTGATCTAACGATTACAAACAATTAGTCTCTCTAAAAGTTATAATAATTGTAGTCGTTGGATCAAAATCCAACGGCCAGTGTTATTGAGTCAGGAGGATTCAGATCCCCTGCTCAGAAGAGGATCCAAATCCCTGTCTGGCTGTCCGTGTGGGAGGTGGGAGGAGGGAGGAGGGAGGGGGAGGTAGTTGCTTCTTGCCAGTTTTCGGTTGTTTTCCACTAATTTTGGTTGGATCCTTTAATTTCATGTTTAATCCTTAGGTCAAGAAAAATCCCTCACTGAAATACTCTGTTTAGAATGATGCTTCTCAGAAAGAAATTTATAGAGAACCGAACATTATTATAACGGTATTTTAAACTAATTACAATTATGAATTGTGAGTGTGATTGAATCGTGTTTCATCTCTTAGGTATAAAAAAAAATTCTATTTTTTTGTTTTTCATAACACAAATGCTACTTGACGGTATCGTAAGCGCTGTCATATAAAAAAAATTAAAGTGCAACTCAGTGAATGGTTGATTTAGAAGTTCGTCAGTGTGAGTCATGGTGATTGGAGATGGAAAGAGATGGAATATGCCCTTTGAAATGATGAAGATTGAAATTGAGTGGGAAGTGTGCCTGCAACGGAGGAGGATGCATTCATGTCATTAAATGAAATAATAATAATAATGATAGTGCAAAAACTTGTACAGTTGAAAAGAGAGCATATGTGGACCAAATTGGGAGGCCCCCAAAATACTAGATAAGAATTAACAAATCAAGTGGGTTTTCTCCCTCCATCTTTGCATCATCTGATTTAGACCTCTCTTTAATCTCCCCACTCATTGACATCTAATTATGTTACTTGACGAGGCTCTTCATTGAGCAGAAAAAACTTCGCTATCTCAACTTATATTTCTTTGTTTTTCGTTTTTCTTTTCACATAATTTGTAATTGAAAAGAAATATGAAGAACAATCTAGTAATTTAGATTTATACTTCAACTCATCGTCATATAAGAAAAGAGATTAAAGACAAAGCTTTTGTTATCCACACTCAAATTTTTCCCATTTCTATCAATCTCATCACGTAAGTGTTCATAACATGAGGAGAGATTAAAGATAAACACTTAAAAATTTAGGCTCTCCTCCCATTTTTCCCTCCCTTCCTATTTGAAAACGCTCAGGATTAAATCATAACATCATCTTGTTTTTACTTTCTTTGTAGAGATAGAAGAAGAAGAGGAAACCAAAAGAGAAGGGGAGGGAGGGGAGAGAATCCAACTCCCATAAACATGCATACGTACAAACATGCAAAAGTTCAAAGCTCGTTAACTCGATCTAGCATGTGGGAAATTTTAACGTATTGAAACATCCAAAGAAGCATGGCCATTCAACCTGAAACCAGCTACTGATCCCCATGCACAAGTGTCCATCCTCCAATCTGTGGGGAATTATTTGATCGCATATATAATATATATAGATACATATATATTTATATATGTATGGATATTCTGCTAAAAATGCCAACCAAAAAGATCAGAGATTAGACCATACATATATAATGCAGAAGAAACCAAAGTCTCCTTGATAACCTGTTGTGCCAAAAGTAGATGAGCATTATTGCCCTAAAACACTGAAATAAATCAACAAAACGAAAGAAAGAGTCCTCAAACGAAAACTCTGTTTAAATATCACAATAAACCAAATACCTTTTTACTTCGGTAATAATTTTGCTTACAAGTCTTAAGTGACAGTGATGTTGCCACCTTATTTATCATCATTAAATGAGTTTGAATTTTAAGATTTATGCAGCGGATATACACAAATCTCAAAATTTAAACTTATCAAACGATGATTAAATAGAGCAGTGAGTATTACCACCACTTGAGGATGCGTACATGCACTCATTTACTTCAGCATTGAGAAATTGGCAAACTAAATATTTCCAGATTGATGGGTTCTTAGCTAAGACCAAACCAAACATATGTGTCAAGCTTAATCTAACAATTAATGTCACAAATATGTAGATGTGGGCGTATAGTTATATTAATTATAGCAGAGTTGCTCTCTCTATGCACTTGAGTTCGAATCTCTTCTCCGTAGTTCAGATTATTTGTATAGTTAGCTCAAGTTCCTTTGGCTCAACATTAAATTTTGCCTAATTTTATTTTAGCATTTTAACTAGAGATTTTGGTTGAAATTTGAACAAATCCAAGTTAGAATAATTTCATATACATTGATTATATATAACATATACCACTTGATACAAGTTGTTAGATTATTATTATTATTATTATTATTCTGATTTAATGGTTGTATTTTACTATTGGTGACCAATATGCAATATGAAAGATTAGTATCAAAGGTGGAGGAGCAAAATTTTGGTGAAGGTGATTACATCCCAACACGTTACTACTTTATCTTAAATTTTCCTACATAAAAGGCTTCTTATGATAAATTGCATTCAACGGCCAATTTTAAGTGAATTTGTGCTAAGGTTGCTTTCACCCATAACCACATTAACTAGTGTTTTGTTGGCTTTTTGATAAATTGCAAAATTTCAACCCTCTTCGAGTCGATTAGAGCAACGTGTTTTATAGTTTATTGTTTGCACCTATGTTCAAATCTTTCTTCTCGTAGTTTAGATAAATTTAATACACACACACACCCAATGTTCGTTAAAAAAAATCTATTTTCTCTTATAGTTCCTTGTGAACTTGAAAACCCTAGCTAGGCTGAAATGTCTGAGGCAATTATTAATACATGCATGTTTTGAAAAAAAATTTAATGTGCCTGAAACACAGTTAGGTATACCAAGTGTAATAATATAATTGGTTGAAATTTTCTTTTAAAGTTTCCAATCAATTATATTATTACATTTGGTGTATCGGACTGTGTTCCTGACACATTTGAAAAATCTCTCACATGTTTGAGGCAATTATTAATAGATCCATTGCAACATATGGATGGCTGGTTAGTATTGTATGCCAAAATTTTGTCACAGCCATAGTCAATGGTTCAGTAATTGTCAAGGAGAAGTACAAAATGGAGGAAGTCTAATGAGCTCTAATTAAGGATGATGAATTTCCATCAAAGAAGGAAACTTGATCAACTTGGAGGTAACTTTATCAATTTGAAAAATGCCTCCATTTTTCTAATAATTAAAAAGGTAAGTGCTAAAGTAAAGTATTAATTTACGTAGACGGATACATTGTTATTGTAGTGTTATAATTTAATAAAAAAATGTTATGTGTCAATTATACTCTACAAAATATTATATTATTCAGCTCGAGATACTATCGTGATAATATATTCAATCTGTCTAAGTCCTCCATTACGAATATACGAGAGGTGTGTTTGTTTCTTTATCAAACAGTCAAATTGAGAATCAATGGAAGGAGGAGATTCAAGAGAGGGCGAATGGAGTGATGTCAGCCAAGCCATGGTTCATGGTTGCCTGATTCTCCCCAAAAGGAGTAAACAATGTAAGGACCCCATCCGTCTGTCAGGCTTTGATAATGCTAAGATTCTCCGAAACTACTACTGTGGAGGAAGGGAGGGAATTGGATCTGCTCAGAATCTTTATAATTGGAGCCAGAGATAAATATATTTGGGCCACACAAATTGAATCTGATGTCCTCTATTTACTCATTTCGCTAGCTTGCTATATACAAATCAACAACTCTGATTTTTTTTACATATCAATCAACGACCTAAATGTGTTGATTTTTTAGAACTAAGATCCAGAGCGAATCCAATTCCAAGAGGGATGGAGTCTTTGATTTGTCATGATGTGGGGGCTTTGATTTTGATTTGTTGTTTCGACTCTTTGAGGGCTTTTTAAACTTTTTACTTGAGCAACCTCTTTTGCCACTTCTTTTTCTGATTTTGATTGGATGAGAGAGATTCCAAACTACTCTTTGATGTGTCTCATCTTTTCTATTGTATGTTTTGTGTCGCTAATTTAGGTGGATGTGGTGGTGGAGATTGGAGAAAAATGGATAAACACTATGAAACATATTTAAAGGTTTCAACTGCATTATTAAGGATTGTTTGACCATGACAAATTTTATGCAAGATGAGAATAACGTTAGGTAAAATCAAAATGCACTAAAATATAATGTGTTTGTAAAAGCGACCTAATCAGACCGACCTAATGAAACAAACATGACTTAAAGCTTTTTGTCTTTATATGATTAAGGATTGACTGATCATAATAGATCTTATATAGGATGAGACTAACGTGAAATTAAGTAAAATCAAAATACAGTAAAATCTAATGTGTTTGTGAAAGCGACCTAATCAGACCGACCTAACGAAACAAACATGACTTAAAGCTTTCATCTTTATATGATTAAGGATTGACTGGTCATAATAGATCTTATATAGGATGAGACTAACGTGAGATTAAGTAAAATCAAAATATAGTAAAATCTAATGTGTTTGTGAAAGCGACCTAATTAGACAAACATGACTTAAAGCTTTCATCTTTATATGATTAAGGGTTTTCTAATCACGACAGATCTTATATAGGATGACATTAACGTCAGATTAAGTAAAATCTAATGTGTTTGTAAAAGTGACCTAACGAGCTACGTGATTAGGCTGTCATCTTTAAGTTTTTTTTTTTCTTTTCTCAAGATTGAAATGCTTTTTCACAAACACTTTGAAGTGAAAAAGAATTCAAGCTATGAAAAGGAGTGGCAAGTTAAAGAGCACCCCTCATTGATCTTAGGTTGGTTTTCTCAACTTCTCAATAGTTGATCAATGAGTGTGATTTGATTTAGTTTGTCATCATGGGTGCCCATAGAAATAGGACATATTTGTATTCTGACAATGCATAATTTTCCCAAGTACAACCCCCCACTTAGTGGTGGATGATCAATATGTGGGGATAATGGAGGTGATGGGCACAGGTTAATGATACAAACATATAAAAACTGTACAAATAGCTACTTTTGGAGAGACAAACAAAAAGAAATTCAAAGGCATGCAAGCAAACAAAAAGGGAATCAAGAAAAAAAAAAAGATTTATGAAAGGGGAAGATTATGTAATCATATTACAAATTACAAATTTATGGTTCTTATCTAAAATGGTTTTAGCAATGGGTTTAAAAGCCAAAGATAGTTTGGTAATTACATATTAAGGAAAAATAATGTGCTAGCATGGACTAAAATTTGATGTTGGTGTATATAAACTTAAATCCTATTAGCTTTGGAAGACAAAGTTACTAGTGGTAACTTCGTCCTAGTAAAGAGAAAATATTCGATAGAACTGTTTGATTATAATATCGTGTAAAAGTTACACAAGGCTGAGTGGTATCAAAATATAAAAAATTCCGTATTTTTGTGATAGATACCTTATAAATAACGTGTTCGGGTATTTATACTCTTTTTTTTGTTTGGTTTCTCCCTTCCATTTAGCAGAGAATATAGGGTAGAGGGATTTTCTGTTCCTCTGTAAAAGAACAGAGAGAGAAAGAGAAGAAAGGTTTTTTTTTATTTCACTTTTTATCTTCAGTCTCTGTGATTTTTTCTGTTTACTTTGTTTGAAGAGAGAGTTGTTTTCGCATGTGTGTTTTGTCAAAATCATTGGATGCACGTGGAAGCCCAGAAGGAAAATAATTCCTTCTCGACTTCTACTGAAGTTTTTTTTTTTAATTATTATAATCAGTAAAATAAATTTTATGTGATGGAATACTATAAATATTATATATAAACAATTTCGTGTTGATTCCCATCTTCCACCTTCGTTATCTTGCTTCTCTGCCACCTCTCTCCCTTTCTTTCCTTCTTCTTCCTCCTCTCTGTAAGCATCTGTTTCTTCTTTATTCTTTCTGCACTGCTTTTTATCTGCAGTTTCAGTAATCTCAGATTGCATGGCATTATATATTTTTTGTGTTTTCTGAGTTGTTTGCTGTAATGGGATTTCAGTTTTGATTGTTTTATGATCTGGGTTTGTTTGCCTTTGCTGTAAAAGTTATAAATTTAGTAACTTTATTTGTTGGGTTTGATGTTTGGATTATGATCAGGATACCCCTTGGTTTTATCGCAGTGTTGAACTCAATTTAGAGACTCCAGCAGCACAGTGATTAGTTTTTAATTAATCATCAGTAATCTTGTTTGATGAGTCCTGATTTTGTATAAAATCCAGTGGAATTATTAATTTTTGTGGAATTTGAGTGATATAGATTTTAATCCCCTTATACAATCCAAAGTTCATGAGCTGCAATTTTGCCTGGTTTTCCTATTTGACCAAAAAAATAATTCAAAGGTAACATTGTGTTGTTCTTTCTATTTTTCTTCTAAATTTGATCTTTTTTTTTTGTGTGTGGAAATAGTGCTGTTGAACTTGTTGGAAGCATGGCACTTTCCGGTGTTCGGAAAGATAGAGAATTGAGGATTCATGAAAGTTTGGATGATCTTAGCACTGATTTGGCAGACTACATTGCTGAGATATCAGAGGCATCCGTGAAGGAGCGCGGCGTCTTTACAATTGCATTATCTGGTGGTTCTCTCATTGGCTTAATGGGGTATCATGCTTTCCTTTCCACATCCGGTTTTTGTATATGTTATGATTTTTGTGTTAATGTGTCACTTATGATGGAAAAAAACAGAAAACTCTGTGAAGCTCCTTATAACAAGACTGTAGATTGGGCCAAATGGTATATATTTTGGGCAGACGAGCGTGTTGTGGCGAAAAGTCATGTTGATAGCAATTACAAGCTTGCGAAAGATCGCTTTTTGTCTAAGGTTTGTATGAAATTCTCCGACTTTTTTACCCTCCCACCCTGTTGTAGGCTGTATTTTGTTCTTTAAGTAACCGAGTCGAAGAAATATCGTAGACATTGTTTGTCTTGCTTTGAACATGATGCTTTATTTTTTCTTGTCTTTCTCTCTTTCGGAAAACCAAATGACATGATGAACTTCGAATGAAAGGATAGATAGTACCATGCTTAGTTTGATCTGTTCTGTGTGTTCAATTATGACACTTAATGTGTTTTAACTCTTTATATCACGACGAGGTGGCTGTGATTTAGTACCCGACAATCGTGTACTGGATCTAAACTGCTTATCAAATTAAAGAGTCAAGTTTCTTGTATAAGAAGTTTACTAGCTGTTGCTGATTTCTGTAGTTTCACTAAATCTCCGTGTCATCATCGGAACCAACTTGTATATTGCAGCCATCTTCTGGTGCACATGTTCAACTTTAAAAATTGCGGATAAAGTTAGCATTTAGTAAAGGAAGATCACTGCTGCAGATTATGTTGGTTGTTTCTCGGGTCATTTGTTGCATCCTAATAGCCACTTCAGTGAACTTTCCTTTTAAACACCGTGAAGCTATCTCATAGCCACTTCAGTGAACTTTCCTTTTAAACAAAGTATTTACTGAGATGTAGGTTTTTTTGTTCCTCTTCGAGTTATGATCTTCTATTTTTCATAATTTTCCACTTTTAAAGGATTTTCCATAACTTAATTATATGATGTGAAGCGGTCCGCCATTGCCAGTAATGAAATTTTCTATTTCAACTTCTTGACTTCACATATGGCTATCTCTTGTACATCTCTTCACAACAGCGTGAAGATCTTCTAATATGCAATCAGTAATTAGTTAATCAAGCTATAACTTGCAACCTGATATTTTGTCATGGCTATCAGTATTGTTACGGGATGTAAAATATGCTAGTTTGTGCACATAGTATCATTTTAGTATCCGAGAACAGATTTGAAAGCTTTTAGTTGAGAACGATGGCTATGTGAATGCAATATTTGTTCTGGTTCTGGTAAATTTTATCGCCCATCTGTATTCGGTGTTCCCATGCTCATTTTTGTTTCATGTTTTCAGGTACCTATAATTCCCAGTCATGTGCATTCTATCAATGATTCAGTGTCAGCAGAGGAGGCTGCTGATGACTACGGGTTTGTCATTCGCCAGCTAGTAAAATCTCGTGTGATCAGCGTGTCTGATATAAGTGACTGTCCCAAGTTTGACCTAATCCTCCTGGGAATGGGTCCTGATGGGCACGTCGCCTCGCTATTCCCCAACCACTCGGTGCTGGAGGAGAAAGATGAATGGGTAAGTTTTATAACTGATTCCCCCAAGCCTCCACCTGAGAGAATCACATTCACCCTGCCGGTCATCAACTCGGCATCCAATGTAGCTATAGTCGCAACAGGTGAAAGCAAAGCAGAGGCTGCGCACCTGGCAGTCGATGTCATGGGATCTGACCTCCCTCCAGTGCCTGCTGGAGTTGTCCAGCCTCTGAAAGGGAAGCTGGTGTGGTTTTTGGACAAGGCAGCTGCCTCAAAACTTGATGCCAGTACTCAATTTTCCGCATAGGGTCGAATCCTTTCGTGTCTAAGTGTATGTTTTGTGTTTACCAGAGGGATTCGACGCCTGCGATTCGATATCTTTCGTCATTAGTCACCTCTTGTACAATCTTTGGGTTAATTTCCCCTATTTTGCCTTGCCTTTCCCTCATGTTTAGTGGGGTAGAGGTCAATAAAGTTGGGGACTTTAACCCAAAAGCCATTTTTCTGGTTCTACTTTGCTAATAGGAAAGACTCAAAGGTTGGATGGTATTTTTCTCAAGGGTGCTTCCTTCCCATTGGCATTTGGAATATTTCCATTTGTCCCTCCACTTAAATTATGCGTCACACGTTGTGTACTGCTTGTGTTCTGAGTACACTGCAAAAATTTTACCTCTTCAAAGACCAAGCCGGTTAAAATACATTCTCGTTCTCCTAGACACCGTAGTTCAAGAAAATTGCGGTCACCATCGTTCAATCGTAACCCTCGGGCTCTAAAAGGTTTTGACATCACACTCTTGTACACCGACCCCTCAACCACTCCTAATTAATAAAATGAAAACTACTTGGCGTATCCAAACTTTTTCTATATAGCGACATTAAAGCGTGTGGGGATCACTCTTTGTAGTTGGATAAGATTAAGAATTTCAACTTGTTCTCAATGTCCTTAAAACATTACATTTGTGACTAAACACACATTAATTAAACAAGCAAGCAGAATGTTGTCAATGTCCTCCAAATTCTGATAGCCCTGCGCCCATTTTGATCGAAAAAATGCGCTTGTTCGGGCGAAATAACGAAAAATGTTATAAGATAGTTGGAAGCATTCGTAGTATCTATCGAGTTATAACACATGGTTTCAAATCTTTAGCTCTGAATCTGCTTATAAATGCTATCCATCGCATACAAAATTGGTGACTAACTTGTAATGCTATCTCAGTTACAACACCTCCAGGATTATCAACTTACAGTCTCTGGTGTCAGAGTGCGATATTCCATTTCTGTTATCGACCTTATACCGTCTGAATCAGGAACCACCTCTTCCATGTCTTCCTTCGGAGGGAAGCCGCGTTCTTGTCCAAGCAGCCATTGATCTATCACTCCGCAATCGATTGCATAGTTGATTGAGTGCTCCAGATATTCTTTATCAGTAATAAGATGTGGTTGAACTGTCAACATTCTCATGAGAGCTGAAAACAAGTCACGCAGAAGTTAGGAAATACAAAAATTTAGCTTGTAATGCAGAACTTTATCCAAGTTCATTGTCTTTCACCTACCGGCCAATGTAATTATATGCATAGGTTTAAAATTGTGAGTTAACTCACGGTTTTATGTTGTTTTCCAACTCATTGATAATTTCACCACATCAGTCCAGGTACAAGTTTTGTCTATGATGAACTGTGCCCAGCGAATACCTTGTGTGCGAGTGAAAGTTGACACAAAGTGCACCAAACTAATAGCCGGAATCTAAATCTTACAACACACAACTTTATCAACAGAACAAGCCAGGGAATATAAACTATAGGCTTGTATCTGCATTTCTTGACCCAAACACCCAAATGCAAGAGCTAAGCAGGACCTACTCTCATAGTGAAAGCATTTGAAGATACGCTCGATCATTAAAGAAACTAAAATTTGATAGATTTGCAAATCATAGGAGTGTACCTGCCACAATGCCGTCTCCAGATGCTGACATATCAGAAGTGAAAGGACTGATGGGGGGATCTTCCATTCCGTTAACAGCACCTTGGTGGTCCTTTGTGTAGTAGTGTATCTTCGAAGTCCCATTTGTCACGAACAAAACCTTAAGATTGTCATGCCAAAGTTGTTCAACCACTTCTGGTGAATGATGGACAAACTTTGACCTGTCATTATTTTTAGTGTCAAATTCCTCAGAGGGCTGGATCCCGCAGAGAAACTCAAGCTCTTGCTTAGTAACTTCAATAATATCAGCAAGATTCCACACTTGCTGTACGAACAACTTTGTTTCTTCACAAGACTGCCATAGTGGCAATGGAAGGTTTACATCGTAGAAAATAACTCCTCCAAGTTTCTTTGAAATCTTGATTGCCTGCAGTGTTGTTGACCTCATGTTTCGATCAAGCAGAGAATTTGTGCTGAAGTAAAACATCTTTGCCTGCACCACATGTTGTTAAAAGGTGTCCACAGTTAAGAGCAATCTAACCACAAATGCAGCTAAAAGATCTAATGCGTAGGCACTCAAATTGACAAAATATAATGGGAATCACAGATGGAAGTATATTTGCCGAAAACTGTGTATGATATAGAATGTCAGCAGTTCTTATTCACCCCCTCCCCTCCAAAGAAACACAACAAAGATATACCACCTAAATAGCAGGATCTACAATAAAAGTTAAATATTCCAAGGGACCCAAGATTTTACCTCCTTCAGCACATCAACGTTGATCTCTGACTTTGTTAAAGAATCCTCAGCACATGGTTTGACACAACTCAATTTCATGCGACCCCTTTTACCAATCTTCATTTGTGATACTGCAGTTGCCCTTTTAGTATCCATGCGAACAGAACGGGTTTGAACATTTTTGACATTCATATAATACAGCATGGCCTGACCAAACTGATCATCTCCAAGTTTTCCCATGAAAGCAACCTTGCCTCCCAAGCTTGCAAGAGCAATTGCAACGCTGCCTGCAGATCCCCCAGGAGACCTAATAAATTTCTCAGGGGCCCATAACGCATCTTTCTTTCTTTCATGTATTTCATAATCTACAAGTCTGTTGGCTGGCCTCCCTGAGAGCACAAAAGCATGTTGTGCGGCTCCAAAGCAACAAACAAGAGGAGGCCAATCGTAAGTTTCGCTAATATCCTCTCCCTCATCAATTTTCAATTCTAGGTCTTCCTCATTCTCATCCTTCATATCCATGACGAATGTAAAATCCTCAGTCTCACTAAGTTCACCGTCACTAACCTGCTGCTCAATCGCATCGTCCTTCTTCTTAGTTCTTCTCTTCCTTACCTTCTTCTCAGTTTGTTCTTCCTCCACGCTTGTGGAAGCTGATGCAACTAGATATATCAAATTACTGGTTTGTTAGCACATACAAGATAAACATTCATGTAACAGTACTAAATGAGCAATAAGTAGGAATAATACCTTTCTTACGAGTTCTTCCACGCGGTTTCTTGGTCTCTTCACTAGATGCAGAAATGACAGTTTCCTCATCCGAAGACTCATTATCGGATGTTGCTTTCTTTCGGGTTCTTCTAGGAGTCCTAGATGTCTTCTTCTTCACAACCACCTCCTCATCTTCAACGGAACCCTCCAGAGCTGAGTTCTCTGAGTTTATCTTTTTAGGGAGAGCTGCAAGTCCCCCTTTTTTACCACGCAATCTAAGACCCTGAAGCTGCACGAAACTCATCGACCGGCTATTGGGCCAAACCGAATGGCACCTGGAAATTTCAGCGGACAAGTTTACTAATTTTTCTTGGGAAGGAGACAGTGAGGTGCAATTAATTGTAGGGTTTTAAGGGTTTAAGCAAATTCTGTTGTTTTTTCATGGGTTTATCTTATAAGTTAAAACCCACCAACAAAAATCTACAATTATCCAAACCCAGAAAAGTTTCCACATTTTTCATTTAACTACTAATTAATTCTCATTTCTGCTCAGTTTTGGATTGCCGTTTGGATAAGGAGCAAAAGAAAACACACGGTTTTGAATTAAAAGACTGGAATTTTATGAGAGAGAGAAAGAGAGAGGAACCTGGGTAGGAGGAGAAAGTGAGTGAAAGGAAGAGACGCCATGGACAGAGGTGCGCCAAGAGCTCAACTTGTTCGTCGCCCGGGTAAATTCAACAATTGGGTGTTTTACTATTAAGCCATGAGATAGAAGCGATGGGTGTGAGATTTATCACTTTTCAGTAACGGCAGCTTTAGCTTAGCGGGAGAAGGAAATAGGATGAGAGCTTTTTGCACGTGCATAAGGCGTGCAGTTAAGAACGGTAAATCATTGTCGAAAGATGAGTGCTTTTCACACACTTATTTTTACTTGTTAATTTTTATCAATTGATTTTCTTCTCACAACCCAAAAAATTGAGAGAAGCGTGTTTGAGGTAAAAAATAGGTGTGTAAATACTGAATAGCACGACCCTTGTCGAATTATATAGCTTGGAAAGGTATGGAATTCGAACTTAGCACAACCTTCGTTTTTTGCTTAATGGGGGTGGGGGATTGCCGGTCTTCGTACAATCTTCGTTATTACAGTTGGGGATTCGAACTTGGGAAATAAGAAAATTGGATGATTTTGTCCACCTTGGTAAAATCTTTGCTTTTGCATTCTATGGTAAACCAACCGGAAGTTATTGTAAAAGGGTGTGTAGATATCATTTCTCTGAACGAGCGGTTGAGCAACCAACCAGAAGTTGGTGCACACTAGATAGATTCAGAAATCGGGTCTCCGAACTTTGGGATATGTTCATTAACCTTGGATTGGATAGAATAAGTGCACAAAATAATCTTTCAACAACATAAAGATCAACCCCTATTCGGCTCACTTGTTCCAAATATTAATACGAGATTCGGAATCAAGGGTTTGTTTCGTTAGCTAAGTTATACAAGCGAGCTTCGACAAGTTGCACGGATTTGACAGAACAAAACTGCATACTCCTCACATACTGTTCACTTGGAAGCAGTGGAACACTAGTCACTCTGTTGCAAAACCTCTGCCTCAGCCCTTGCCATGGGGTCGTCCTTCATCTCGATCTCCTCTTCTTTTTCCCCTTCTCGTTCTTGCGTCAATTTTTTCCTGTGCAACTCTTCCGCGGCCTGCATGGCAGCCTTGTTCTCTGCCTGAATACGCTGCATTTCCTCTTCTTGTTGCTGTCTCTCAAACCACGTGTCTGCATCTGCCCAAACTGTAGTAACAAAGCAACGAAAGATGCTAAGCATACCTAAAATTTCAAGCTTGATTCGGAATGAACATTAATCTCAACGGACAAACAATTTAAGCAATTTGAGTTGAACACAAGAGCAGGTAATTTTAGTTCAACGACGATCATTAACTTCAAAATGCTATTCAACTGTTTCTAATTCGATGTCATCGTTCTATTTTCTTTCAACCCCTTTTCTTTTTCACAAAACAATGTATACATTCTAATGAATCTAAAGAAAACTAATGAAAAGAGTTTGAAACTTTTGAGTTTTAACGATAAGGACAAAATAAAAAGTAAAGTTGTCTTTTTAGTGTAAAAATATGATTTTTCGTCAAAATAAACATAAACAGTAACGGAAGCTTTTCGTTAAAGTTCCATGAATCTAATCTACGAGGCTGAGTATTCGAACTTGGGTGAAACGAGACGGATCACCAAAAAAGCATCTAAATACCAGAGCTCAGTATCTTCCTGAATCCTAATCATGAATCTAAATCTAAGTAAAATTGACTGCATACCCAGATTGAATCCTAAAACCCTAAACCCCCAAAGTCGAAACAGCTACACTAACATACACACTTAATAACAACAAGAAGTGAACCCCAAAGAGCATCAATCACGAACCCTAGAACCAAATTTCACAACAAAACCCAAAAATCGAAACATCCCAGATAACCCAAATAATTAATAAATCAACCAAACCCATCTAAACAAATCAAGCTAACATTCAAATCCACACAGAAGTAATAACAATGGAAGGAGGATTGAGGAGTAGGAGTAAAAGGGAACAAGGACTTACTGGGCTGAGCGGCCCAACCCTGTTCACCGCCCTTGATTTTCTCAGGGAGGGCATAATTAACAGTGAGGACGCGGCCGTAGAGCTCGGCGCCGTCCATGTTGTCCATGGCGGCGGCGGCGTCCTCTCTCTCCAAGAACGTGACGAACCCAAAAGAGCGGTGCTTCTGGGTGGCTTGATCGAGAGGCGTCTTGACGTCCTTGATGTCCCCGAAGGGTATGAACGCCGCGTGGAGTATGGACTCGTTCACCTCCTCCGCCAGTCCTCCGACGTACAGCGTGTTCTTCTGCACTGCTTGCTGCGCCATTCCTCCAACCTTCGCACTGCTTGAGATTTTTGGGATTCACCGCTCTCTCCCCCTTTCCCTTTTTCTTGATTGTTTCTTCTGCTATTTCTTCCTCTTCCTCTTCCTCTTCCTCTTCTTTTGAGATGGGCGAGTCTATATGGATGTGCTGTTCTGGGCTTCAGGACTAAATTAAACTGGAGAGGCCCATTTTCCTTTTTTATTTTACAGTTGTGTTACTTTGGACAGGCCCAGTTTTACATTTATTTATTCTTGGTATATTCTGGTTTCCGCTTGTGTTCCTACTCAAAACAAGTTTAGTGTCGTAGTTATACATGTAATTAAGGTCTAACAATTTCTTGCACGATCTGTTAATTCGACATGAAACTACATCAGAAAAAAAAATTCGGGTCAACACGTTAACGAGTTGAGTCGTTATGGGATCAGTTGTTAAGATAACGGGCATGACACATAAATGGCACGAACGACCCGTTTGCCAAGTATAGACATTAGACATAAAAAAATTTTACATGACATGTTAACCCGACACGAAACAACAACAAAAAAACAGGTTTCAGGTCAATCCGCTCGCGAGTTGAGTCGTTATTAAGTCATCTGTTAAAAACTCGTTAAAATAGTGAGTTTGACACGATATGATCCCTTAAAATAACGTATATACCACTAACACGACAACCTGTTTGTCAGGATTAAACCAAACCAGTAAATGGAGCTGGGCTTTGATAACAATGCCCCGTCCAAGCCCTTAGAAATATAGTCCGCATTCTCAATGTAATATAATAATAAACAAAATAATTTTGAAGTTTATGTAGCCGGTTCCCATGTACGTTGTTGGGTTTGAGGGAGGTTCGAATCCAATTAGTCTCGGGATCGAAACTGGCAGACCTCTCAAAGATCGAAAGGGTTTTTAGGGTTTAGGGTTTAGACTAACGACTTTTAGAGAGATTTTTCAGTGTGAAAATATAAGGTATTCTAAAATACCTTTGTTTTGTTTTTTAAACTTTTTGTTGTGTTCATATTAAACTTCAAATAAAATAAAAACTCTCAATCGCCAAAGGGACATTATATATGCGGGTTTAGACTAACGACTTTTGGAGAGATTTTTCAGTGTGAAAATATAAGGTATTCTAAAATACCTTTGTTTTGTTTTTTAAACTTTTTGTTGTGTTCATATTAAACTTCAATTAAAATAAAAACTCTCAATCGCCAAAGGGACATTATATATGCGGGTTTAGACTAACGACTTTTGGAGAGATTTTTTAGTGTGAAAATATAAGGTATTCTAAAATACCTTTGTTTTGTTTTTTAAACTTTTTGTTGTGTTCATATTTAACTTCAATTAAAATAAAAACTCTCAATCGCCAAAGGGACATTATATATGCGGGTTTAGACTAACGACTTTTGGAGAGATTTTTCAGTGTGAAAATATAAGGTATTCTAAAATACCTTTGTTTTGTTTTTTAAACTTTTTGTTGTGTTCATATTTAACTTCAATTAAAATAAAAACTCTCAATCGCCAAAGGGACATTATATATGCAATAAAGCTCATTTTGGTGTATTTTTTTTTTCAATAATTGATAAAATACAAGATGTGTAAAATTACTATTTCAATTACACGCTTTTGTATTTCTTAATACGAGCACTACTCTAAAATACCTTTGTTTTGTTTTTCAAACTTTTTGTTGTGTTCATATTTAACTTCAATCAAAATAAAAACTCTCAATCGCCAAAGGGACATTAAATATGCAATAAAGCTCATTTTGGTGTATTTTTTTTCAATAATTGATAAAATACAAGATGTGTAAAATTACTATTTCAATTACACGCTTTTGTATTTCTTAATACAAGCACTACGAAGAGAGTCACTCGCATACAAAATTTCGAGCACGTTAAACTACTTGAGTTGAATGCCCTTTTCAAAATTAGGTGCTGAAATTAAATTCTTGTGTGGTACATAAATTTCAATAGAGTTGTAACTAGAGTAGTCTATCTTACACCGATGTGAGAACAGTGCGAAGTAGTTGACCACCAAAACATAAATAATCTCGTAGTTATACATGTAATTAAGGTCTAGCAATTTCTTGCACGATCCGTTAATTCGACATGAAACTACATTAAAAAAATATTCCGGTCAACCCGTTAACGAATTGAGCCGTTACCGGATCAGTCATTAAGATAATGGGTATGACATATAAACGGCACGAACGACCTGTTTGGCAGGTCTAGACATTAGACATGGAAATTTTTTACATGACATGTTAACCTGACATGAAATAACAAAAAAACAGGCTTCAGGTCAACCTGCTCTCGAGTTAGGTCGTTATCAGGTCATCTGTTAAAAATCTGTTAAAATAACGAATTTGATAAGATATGATCTTTTAAAATAACGTATATGCCACGAACACGACAACCCGTATATAAGGATTAAACCACACCAGTAAATGGAGCTGGGCTTTGATAACAAAGCCCTGTCCAAGCACTAAGAAATATAGGCCGCATTCTCACTGTAGTATAATTAATAAAGATAATAATTTTGAAGTTTAAGTCGCTGGTTCCCATGTACTTTGTTGGGTTTGACGGAGGTTCAAATCCAATTAGTCTTGGGATCGAAACTGGCAGACCTCTCAACGATCAAAACGGTTTAGGGTTTAGGCTAACGGAAAGGGATCCTCTCCAGAGAGATTTTTCAGTATGAAAATATGAGGTATTTTAAAATACCTTTGTTTTGTATTTTTAACTTTTTGTAGCATTCGTATTTAATTTTGTTGATGCACAAAATCAGCGAGGACTTTGGTACATCAGAAAGTGTTAAGTTTGTGACCTTCGCTAGATTTCTCCGGTCACTAGTGTGGATAAGTATGCAAACGGATAGAGACAGGGAAGCAAACACAAGATGTAC